AATATTGGCGAATGTGCGTGCTTCCAACACATATACGCAGAGTTAAAAGCGAGTGGGTTACGTCACGAACGCAACGTGAGCCAGTGACACAAAAAAGGGGTTTGGTGGGTTTGAAGAATTTGAGCTGCACTCTGATGTTGGAGCTGAGGACCAGGCTGTTTTTCCAAGGCCTTCATCATCAAAAATCAACCTAAACAAAAACAGTCTTCATGATTTGGCAGCCCTCAAGTAAAAAAAAAAAAAAGGGAAAAAAATCCAATGGATGTTCAATCTGTCTCTGCAGCGACAGTTTTGAAGGGAACTCCAAGCTGTGGAAGTCTCTCAGGGCATGTAAGACGAGAGTTTACAAGAGTTTGCAGACGAACGTGATCCATTTTGGCCGACTGCACGTTGAGGGCCACGGCTCCCAAGTTTCCTGCTGGAGCCTCCGTTGCAAAACAAAAGTGTCGCCCCGGGGCTACGTAATTATCTTCCTAAAAGTGCTTTCTCCAAGAATACACGCAACCAGAAGAGCCGATCCCGTCTCTGTTGCTTCTCAGTGCTCAAACCCAGTATGATTCAAAGGGGTTGATGTGCTGCTGTTCTCCCTGTGTCACATTAAGCAGGGTAATAACAACAAGATGCAGGCGACTCAATGTTACCACATTTAGTCCTTTTTTCCATCTTCCTTTTTCACTTACTCCATCTCCATAATGCAGCCCCGTCACCGGGTCCATGTCCCCAGGCAGTGCCTCGCAGATTCTGGCACGGAAGAAGAGGAGAGGGGTGAGCGGGAGCTTTGCATCTTCCCTTTCTGAGATCCTCGTCTCCATGTGGTTTGACTCTTAAAGTCTCTTTGCTCTTCTTGTGATCCAGATCATAGAGAAAAGGCGCAGAGACCGGATCAACCACAGCCTTTCGGAGCTGCGGAGGCTGGTGCCAAGTGCTTTCGAGAAACAGGTAGATTCTCACGACAGAGAATGACAGAGGATGTCATAATTAGATCATCACTATGACTTTCAGAGTGTTTTTGAATAAAATGTGACTCGTTTTTCCCCCCGTAAGGGTTCTTCTAAGTTGGAAAAAGCTGAAATTCTGCAGATGACTGTGGACCATCTCAAACTGCTGCATGCAATGGGAGGAAAAGGTACAAGGACGGATGTACTTTGAAATGCTTTTAATGTCACCTCTTACTGAGAAAGATTTGAATTAAACTGAGATTTCAATCACAGGGTACTTTGACGCAAGGGCATTGGCAGTAGACTACAGGACCCTTGGCTTCAGGGAATGCGTCGGAGAGGTTGTACGGTACCTAAGCTCTCTGGAGGGGGAGTCTCCGGACCCAATCGGAGCTCGCCTCGTTTCCCACCTCTCGCACTGTGCCAGTGAGCTGGACCCTCTCCTCCTACAGTCACCCCCTTCTTCCGCCTTACCCTTCCCTCCCTGGCCATGGACCTCCTTCCCGCCAATTGCCCCTGCTCAGACGGCCCCTTCCTCGCCATCTTTCCCAAGCAGCCGCAGGGATCTAGCCCTGCTGGGGAGCTACCCGTCATCCGCCTCGCTGCGTCTGGCCCCATTGGCTGGCTGTCAGCAGGGCGGCCCGCCGCTCCTCGGACCGACAGCTCTGGCCTCCATCCACAGGGTGGCTTCTCTCCCATCGTCTCCTGCTCTGGGCCACTCCAGACCGAACCAGCAGTCCCCTCACAGCACCAACTGTGCCTCACCTCTACCTCTCCCGACTGCCTCCTCTTCTTCTCCCTGTTCCTCTTCTTCCACTTCATCACCTTCTGCCCCTCCACAAATGTCCTTCCGGCCTTTTGCGCCTCTGGGCTCGCCGATAGCCCAGCGCAGGAGCTTAAGCGGAGCATCCAAGGCGCCACAGGGGTGGGGGACTGAGATCGGGGCGTTTTGAAGATCATCACTAACACATGAACTCTGTAAAGTGGACATGGACCTTCCATTTGCACCATGTAGCAAATACATATGAGCATTGTCTCTTTTAAGGGACTCTAAAAGCCATATCAGACAATGAGTGACGTTTTGGATACTTACAATCATAAATGAAGGAATGTGAAGGAATTTCTTTGTTGTATCTTTGATCTTGTTTGACAAAAACACATATAGTGTCCCGCAGAGCCATATATGCTGTTATCCTCAAGAAAACTTGAGGGTGAGATTTGACTGAACTTTGAGCTGTGATGTTTTCCTTTATTTTCTCTAAAACATTTATACATTTGATGACTTCTTTTTTTTTTTTTTTGCTTTCCAGAGAATGTTTGACACAAACCTCTATAAAGTTTTAAGTGCCTTCACCCTTGTATGTGTTTCTGCTTTCTTTCACTGACTACATGAGTAATAGCCGGCGTGTTTTTGCAGCTGTCAACACAAAGAGCAAAGGAATGGCAAAGAGACAGAGAGCTGTACTCCTCGTTTATCCATATCTGTCACGTCTGCAAACACTGCCAACATGTTCCCCAGCCGTAACCCGCTTTGAGCATGTAAGCTGTCTCCAGCCATGGCTTATGGGAGCTGTGGTCTTGCGGTGGCGGAGGATAAACATGGTGGGAGATGGTGATGTTTTTGGGATGCCGCGGTGAGGCAAACAGACCCATCACTGTGCCCTCTAATTGGTGCTCCCCTGTAATTAACTTCGTCCTCATATCAGCCAATGCATCCCCCCCATTCCTCTCCTCTGTTTCTCTTCCATTCTTACTCTCCAATCCTGCGGTACGCCAGCGGATATCTTCTCTCTCTGTTTGTCTGCGCCACTGTCTCCTCAACAATGGACGGACTGAGGAGAGGGAGGGATGAAGACGAGGGAAAACAAAAGGCACGGATCTGAAGGCCTGCGGTCGAGTGACTGATTCGGCATAGACGTTTAATAACAGGGTGGGGGTGGGAGGTAGGGGAAGGGGTTAGGGGTTGATGAGAGGGGCTGCGAAGGTTCAGATGGAAAACGAGAAGCATACTTTGAATAAAAGGAAGTTGGCCAGAGCACAGAGTGTGCACAACACATCCCTGAAGAGTGATAAATGGCAGTTGCGAGCTGTTGTTTTCTCTTGAAGATCCGCATGGCCATGCTGTGTTTCACCAGAGCTGCACGCCGGAGGGATGAGAGGAGTTTTGTGTGTGTTTATTGCCGGCCAGCGCTTTGATCTACTTCGGGATGCAATGTCTGTGGTCTGCGGTCCAAAAAATGTGTGTGTTCCGCAAAGTGCGCACTGTTTATTTGAGTGAGCGTGCTAGTGCGTGCCTCAGCCGGTCCCCTTGTGCTTCCACTCCCTTTGTGTGTCACTGTTTTGTTTATGTGGTGTGCAACCCCCGGTTGTGTGCCTGTGTGTGCGTGTAACGTGAGTATTCGGAGCTTGGCGTCAGGACCCGACCGCAGTGACGGCGTGGCTCTCGTGCGAGGCCGGCCGGCGGTCAGACGGACGGTATGGTGGTGGAATGTTCGAGGAGCGGGCCCGCTCACACACACACACACATTCGCACACAGAGATACATAGTTATGGACAAAAACACAAGCTGGCTGGCACTGCTCAATCCTCTGAGCGGAGGAGCCAGAGTCACCACCACAGCTTCCTGGAAGGACAACCACACTCGCATCGCGCAGGCTTTCCCACGGGGGAGGGGACGCTTCGAGGGAGCAGAGAAGAAGAAGGGAAGGGAATGTTGGGCAAAGAAAAAGGGAAGTTCTGAGGAAAGGTTTTATGGAAGCCAAGTGAGGAAAAGAGGAGGGTTTCTGTCACAAGGTAGGCGGGCTGAAGGGAAGGGGAGTAAATGAGAAGGAGACACAAATATTTTTGTCAATTAAACATTCTGCTGTGTTTAAATTTGTGAACCCGATGTTCTGAAGAACCATCTCTACATTCAGTTCAGTCCGATTGAAATGTGCGATTTCTTTCCACGGACTCAATATTCTCATCTAGTCTCACAACCCCAACAGATGTCATGAATTAACAAATAAGCACATTAATAATGGCGTTAGGTAGCATCTGTTCTGATCCTTCGTAGTGATTTGCTTCACAAACTACGACTGATTTAGCAAAACAGTTTCCGTCATTGAGCAAATTTGAATGACGGAAGTTTGCTGTTTTAGAAACTTGGTTTTAGATACCATGTTTGTAATTGTGGCCACTTTTAACTTTCTTAACATTATAAGTTTATTGTTTAGCCTTTGAAGAGTTTATTGCAGTGAAAACACACATGGCCTGTCAGATGCTCTTGTATAGCAAAATCCTGACTCTACATAGGCGACATTAGACGACAAACCCATTAGTCATGTGAATCGTTATTAAATGCAACACAATGGAGCAGAATCTCTATACTCTCCTTTTCTAGTCTTGATTTGTCCTCATTTTTATTTTGTCATTTTCACCTCCATGTCCAATTAAAAGTTCCCACAGGTGCAGTTTTCTCTTTATCAATCTGTTTTTATTTATGGAGCCCAGTCTGAACCGTAGCATTTCTGCTCATAGGCATATTAAAATAACAATATATTTGCACATTTCCTTGGGCTTCCTGTATCGTGCTGTTAGTATTTTCTCTGTCTGTTTGGGTTTTTTTTCTAAGTCTTCAGTTTTGTTATCCTGCCTGCTTCATGTCTGGATGGGCCTGAGTGGACAGGAAGTCTCTTCTGGATCATCAAGATCCCCTGGACTCTGGAAGAGCGGCATCTTGTGGTCAGAAAAAGGCAACGCAGGAGACGTTAGAGAAAGACCATTTGGCAATGTTGTTGGCTTCTCATGACCTAAAAGACCAACATTTGAATTGTTTTCCAACTTCTCTTTTCCTCAAACGCTGGAACTCTGAAGTTGCGTGTACTCCATGAGCAAGTTCAAGATTTCGGGCGAGGTTATTTGTGTAACGTTTCATATCCAGTCACATCCAGCGCTGTGGCACTCCCTCATTCTCTCTTTACTGTCTATTGTCTATTGTCATCAACCTTCACCAGGCTTTCTGTTAGGGTTAACACCTGTTAAACATACATTAACAAAGACAGAAAAGACAAAAGAGTTAGATTCTTTTTCACTCGCGAGGAGAACGGACAGAGATGTGCTTCAGTTACAATCTCCTACCGCTCTGAAGCACATTTTGTCTGCTCCTCTATTTTATTGTTTCTAGGATCCCTAATCACAAGGACGCTGTAGCTCTAAAGGGAGGGGGCAAACAGCTACAGCGTCAAATGTTATTCACTAACTAACACACAATCATTCTGTACTAGATAATGTCCTTCCAGGCACAAAGATTAATAAAATATGTAGTGATCTTAGCAATGATGGTTTTATTGGAGGCCAGCAACTCAACCGAAGCAGAGCTCTTCACCAAGAGGTAAACCTGCAGGAAGATTTTGTTTCTGCTCTCTGTCAGTGAGGCCTTCTGAGAAAGGAATCAGAGTAAATTAACAATACAAGAAACATTCTTAATTCTATAATGAGATTAACTTTAAGGAAAGCATCAATTAAAGATACATTATAAAGATCAATGAGAATAACAAATAATTGATTAATAATATCACAATTTCTCCAACACTTTCAGAGACCACAAGTGCCTGATTTCTCTTTTTCTTCTTTTTTTAAATCTGTGTCTGCAGCCATTCTTCTCCACACGTCCATCTCTAAGCTGTATATAGTAATTTGCTCCACTGCAAGTGATGAGCTACGATCTGCTCCTATTTTAGTCCCAGCTACTTCCAAAAATACCAGTTTATTTGTATTTGATTCATTTTATTGGCACATTCATTGACACCCATTCATACGAGGCCTTTCATCAAATTTTACAACTTAATATCCTCCTAAACCACAGAAATTATATTCAGCTCCTCCAGGCCTCAGTGGGACGTAGGTTAATCAGACGTCTGTAATAATGGAACCTAATGTTTGATGTTTAAATAAAGGAAACATTTCTATTCTAGCTTTGAAATACATTTGATCAAGAGGAGAAAGAAGTGACTGCAGGGCAAGTGAGAGCACCCCCTACTGTTGGAAAAGCAAAGGTACAAATACGAAGGAAATGATGCAGCAAAGAACCATTTTCTGTAACATAAATTAGATCATATGATGAATATCTAAGTGCTTCACACTCCCAATATCCAAATAACTTAATAATAAGAATGTGTCTGTAATCTGGATGTATTAGGAACAGCAATTCCAGAATTTGCTTGTTGAAGATAATCTGGAATTAGCCTAATTAATTTATGGGAAATCATGTTGTGTTTGATTTTCCAGGTTTAGGGCGGTAATTCTTTTCTTGTGTAACTTTATTTCCGGTAACATATTACAGAGGTGTTGTAATAGTTTCAGAATGACAACATTCACTTACCTGAATCAAATGAGGAAGTGCACTTCTCCTGATATTAGGATGTGAAAATGTGACCCTCACCCAATTCAAAACACAAGTTTTTAATGTTTGCAAATAATTAAAAAAATGTTAAACACCAATCCCCATTTTAAAAATCTCAAAGTCAAAGCTTTCAAAGTAGAAGGGAGCACTAACTTATTTTAGACCACAACACATGCAGTGAAATGGCCCCATACCATAATATAAAAACTTGAAGCTAGCATCCCCTTATTATTTGTAGAACCACTGGATAATAAGCAGGTGACATTTGAAATATTTGATAGTTAAAGAGCGTAGACTTTCTTCAGTAAAGTTGCGTAGGAACCCCGACCAATAAACATCTTGATGCAGCTGCAGGATTCAAGCGGGACAGTTCCTCAGGTTGAAGCCCGACACGGTGTTGGCCTGCTTGGTCACTCTGGGAGGAGCAGGCATGGTGATGATTCGCTTCAGGTAGCAGACATGGCTGTAAAACACAACAAGGGCAGCATTTTTAGTTCAAAACTCTTCAATTGTCTGTCAGGCTTGCATCTGAAATTTAACATATAAGATTAAACTCAGTGAAACTTAATTAGCGTACTTTTCTTGTTTGTGCTGAAACAGGTGTTACCCCAGACACTTTAAATTGAGGATATCATGATCATTATCAAAACCATTCAGCACATATCAGTCTTACAGGAACTACTTTGCTATTTAAAAGACAAAAATGGGAAACTTTTTGAAATTTTTTTTTCAAAAAACATTTGATACTTGAAAATCAGATAGAGCCCTAAAGTACAAACAGCTGGGTAGGGTCTGTTTGGCTGAAGTTGAATTTTGTTCAAACGTCTCAGTGTGTTGTTGAACCTCGTGGTGATGAAGCTGTAGAACTGGCAGTTGGGGTCCAAGGTGCAGGCCTTCTCGCATGACCCGGCGTCGGACAGTGGAAAACTGTGGAGGTCAAAACCAGGGAAATCCACTCCTCTAAACACTGTGCTCACACTCGCTTCCGGCTCTGGAACACGACAATTACAGAAAGCGCATTAGTTCCCAAGCAAAGAGGAACATCTGACAGTTATTGCGTCGTGTAATTTTTCTCTAAGTGCTGCAGCTGGTTTTGCGGGGCGTGCATACTGTTAGGCTTCGAGCAGGTTTGTGAAGGCAGTCCAGATGTGATACCTCCGACGTATCTGGGGACCATTTCATTTGGATTGTTCTTTATATAACATTTGTATCCATTGCTGGGGGGGGCAAAAAAAAAAAAGAAATTTCTTAGTGTTAAGAAATAATCCCTTTATATCGTAGACGGTTTCTGTTTGAAAGTGAAACCATAATTTTTTACCTGTCAAAAGAGAAGTAAGTGCATTGTGGGTGAGCGGAGCACAACACCTGACAGTGTTCAGGAGAGGCAGCTTGCTGAACATCGACGTCGTAACCAGAAAAATCAGTGTTTGGAAAAAGTGTGCGCTGGCACTCTGTAGGATACAAACAGCTCAATTAGACGGTTGTCTGCTAATTGTCCGTTACCTTGTTGAGGGCGTCGGTTACCTCTAGAGGGTGGAGATAGTTGTAAGTCAAAGGAAAATCCAGATATTCTGTCAGCATCGCTTATGACAGTTGGTGTTCTTGGTACTGACCAGCTGTACTTCAGGTGGCACTTGTACCTAAACACAGGTAGATGTGTAAGAGTTTCAGAACACCTGAAAACATTTTATCTTCTTATGACTTACCGGACATTTTGGTTGTTAAAACCCCCATCGAGGAAGCTGAAGAACTGACAGAAAGGATCGTCGGTGCAGGCTTTCTGACACGTCTGGTAATCTGCTGTGAAGAAGGTTCTGTAGTCCACGTTGGGGAAGTCCACGCCGTTGTACACTTTGCAAAGCGTCAGTTCTGTCGGGAAGAGAAAACTAAGAGTTTTCTTACTTGACTACATAAAAAATAAATTAATTAATTAATGAAATGGCTGTGCTTACTTGGAACTGGATTGCAGGTCTTTAGAGAATAACCAACAGTGGTTCCCTGCTTGAAATTCTGTCTTTCCGGTTTTCCTGAGGCTGTGGCCTTGAGGAAGCAGTAGAAGTGTCTGGCAAAAAGACAGGAAGAGAGGAAGGCTTTATAACCCTGGACTTTATTATACTTCAATTTCCAAAAAAGACAAAAAAATTTACATTTTAGTCCTGCACAATCGTTTCCCATAAATTATCTCGAGTTTCAATGCAATAATAAAGGTGTCAGCTTGACAATAACAAGATTAGATTGGTTTTTGTTTTGTTTTTTTTTTAAATAATGACGTACATGACGTAGCAAAAATATGTTCTGCATAGATTTAAGGTCATCTTCCCCAAGCATAGTTCTTTTGACTGGAATGAGAAAAATTCTCTGGATTTGGGGAACATGGAGGAAGTTAAAGATGAGGGTGATGGAAAGGAGCTCTTTGTCATGTTGGGTTTTATATTTCTAGAGAGTTGGCGGTTATAGTAAAAGGTGAGTTTATCAGAACAGTAATAATTGAAGAAAGTGACGCAGCGGTCGGCGCAGGAGCGCAGCAGGAGATGGGGAGTTCAAACGCCGTCGGAAACGGGAATGATGACAGTTTAACTGGATGCATCTCACTTGGTGACCGGAGGTTCGTTGGTTTGGAGGGTTTTAGTCAAGCGCTCGGGGTCCCCGCTCCTCTGTGGGTCCAGAAAGGCCCGCGCTCAGCCACCAGAATCCGGAAAGCAACGAGGGAGCGTCGCAGGGCGGACAGGTGGGTTCAGGCGGACCGGAAACAGGAGCGTCACGACTCCCCAGTCGGAGAATCCAGGAGGGAAACGCAATCACACGGAGAAGGTGAGTACGGGAAGTACCGGTATAACACCGGTAGTCCACTCTGCTTGTACTGCTCGCCTGACGAGCAGATTAATCTCAGGTGCGCAGGATGACGACACGCCAGTCCGGAGAGAGGCGAATCTGGCGCTCTCTGGTGGCGAGATAGTGAATAGCAGCAACCAAGGATCGACAAGAAAAAGCAAAGAACTGGGACACAACACTCTTTTAAACCTGTTCATCAAAGCTAAATGTTAAAAATACAACTGAGAACCCGCTAAAAGCCGACCAGGAACTATGACGAAGGCTCGCGATTTATAAGGCCATGACGTGTCATCGAAACATCGACTGACTGCAAAAACAAGCAGAATTTCACCCATCGACTGGAGAAAACATGTTGGTTTCTGTTGGTCGTGGTGTACCTGTTGTCGACCCTGCAGTCAGGACCAATAAACGCCCAGAATTGGCAAGACGCCTCCTGAGTGCAGAGGAACTGACAATGTTCAGCGTCCGGGGAGAAAAGGATTTCAACATCTGAACCTGGAAAGTCCCAATCCATCTGAAGTCTTGTGTCACAGCCTGGAAAAAAAAAGTTCTCGTATTAACATGAAAACATATACTAACATCTGAACTCAATATGAAACTCTCACCAAAGCTGCAAGCACAGAAACAGAGGAGAGCCACTGAAATAAAGAGAGTCCTCATCTCCCTGGATACAGCAGCAGACAGTGATGTCAACTGGCTGAGGAACGACTGCGAGTCACGTTTATGTGCTTCATGGGGGTGTGACCGACCAGAGCTGCACTGGGAACAAAAAGCTGATATACATGAGCCACTGGAGGCGTTGTTTCAAAAATAAAAATAAAGCACATCACTGTATGCAATAGGAGAGTAACCAGGTTAAATCGATAGGCTCTTTCACTACGAAGATATTTTCAAAAAACTCTGCTGGCGATGTATAAAAAACATGGCTCATAACTCTACAACCTTATATTATTTTTATACCATTACATCTACGTCTGACTGATGTTTCAGTCCTGTAGTCATATGTAGTCAAAATGTTGAGCATCTCCACATTTTGGCTGCAATGAGTTTCTAATCTTGTTTTAGTACATTCTTAGGTTTTCTGTTTCAAATCACAAAATTTTTTTTTTCTTTGCACGTCCCAAGATGTGTTCATTGTTAACCCCTCTGCGGTCTTAAGAGATGAGGCTAACCTCATCGTGGGCTATCACCATTCCCACGATGTCCCATAATATATTCCATAATACAGGAATATGTTACGGGACAACATTCCTGGCATGCTGTTTTTCTAACAGCGTGTCAGCTTACATGGACATTAGCCGTCCTCCGTCCCACCCATAAAATATTCCATCTTCATAAAAATTCCGACTCCTTATCAGGCTAGATAAGCAGATTTATTGCTTCTGACCCAGAAGCAGTGAATCTGTTTCTGGGTCACATCTCTCACCCTCCTTGTTTGTCTTGGCGTTGGCCCAAGAAACCAATGGGCCGACGCAGTTGATAGAAAATAATTTTGAAAATACTTTTTTGGTTCAATTCTCAGGCCGTCCAATAAATGTGTATCAGCCCACTGCTACACTGGTCCACCCCTCGGTATGGATGACAGTTGGCTGTATCTGATGTCATAATCAGCAATACTGAGGTGCATATGATGTGTAGTTAAACATCCATGGTGCTGTTAGATATTTTTTAACATTATCATTTTGTTGTTACTTTAGTTTATATTCAGTCTAAAGTATTATTGTGATTTTAGTATAAACTGACCTGGAGGTTACGACTGTCTTCATGCGAGATAGTAAAACTTTATGGTTCTCAGACCCTAAAGTTTTCTCTGGTGTTTATCTACCCAATCTTAGGTGACAGTTTGACCCAGAGCTGAACTGGGCTCAGATTGTAAATTAGATATCACACCTGGAACTGAGTTGTTGGTCTGTTTGTGTTAAATGTTTTACGACCTCTGTTGTTTGATGCTTTGACAATAAAGAGGGAGCTCACGTGAAAGCAGATCAGAACTCTCTTTTGACCAGCTCGGAGGAGCTGTTGATCGAGATTTCTCCTTCTGCAGAAGCCTGACCATATTTAATTCATATACGTTGTCTGTGGTTATTTTATTGTAGGTTCGAGGAAAATACCTAACATTTATTGGTGCCGAAACCCGGGATCTCTCAACCCCCCGCTGTCAGGCAGAGGAAGACGCGCTGAATCCGTGCACGGCCAGAGTCATTTGGAGACCTGGAAAGAAAGACCCAGGAAGTGAATTCTTCGCTGGGCCAGCGACACATGTCCGACTTTGTCTGTCAACGGCGGAGTGACGAGATCCGACTGGACAACTTGAGAACTACGAAAACGTAGGTGAATTAAATGGTTATTTTTTTTTTTTTTTTTTAAGGTGTGAGTGCCCTTGTCAAATGGCGTCTTGACTAAAACTCTGAGGTGTGAGTGCCCTTGTTAAACAATGTTTTTAACTAAAACTCTGAGGTGTGAGTGCCCTTGTTAAACGATGTTTTTAACTAAAACTCTGAGGTGTGAGTGCCCTTGTTAAACGATGTTTTTAACTAAAACTCTGAGGTGTGAGTGCCCTTGTTAAACGATGTTTTTAACTAAAACTGAGGTGTGAGTGCCCTTGTTAAACGGTGTTTTTGACTAAAACCCTGAGGTGTGAGTGCCCTTGTTAAATGGTATTTTGGCTAAAAATCTCTGTCTTGTTATTACTATATGTCATTGCTGGTTTGTGTGCTGCTTTGTTTGTGTGTGCGTATGCGTGAAAGACTGTGTGGAGGTTTAAATACGGCTCTGTATTTTACCTCATATAAAACAGTAGGGGGTAAGCAGCAAACCTCTTGTGGATGCAGAGGCAAGATTCTCCCACTCGAAAGAGTTGAAGTGGAGAATACCACAACAAGGTATTTTTAATTGCTGGCCTACTGAAAAGATCTCCAGTTCATAGAACTCCCTAGGAGTTAACAAAACTGGACTAAATTTTAAATAAATAAAAATTTGAAGCCAAAACTGCAAGTGATTTGTATAATGGAAAATGCAAATTCGTGTAATTCCTCACTCGTTGAGGGCCCCGATGGGGATGAGAAATACATGCTGTCCAGATTTCCTGGTAGCATGGTATACATAAATAAAAATAAAAAAAAAAAATGGAAAAAGAAATATAAAATAGATGGGAAGCTAAAAAATTGATCAATGGAAAAAAAATTAGAGGCTCGTCCGGGATTCCTTACACACACGCCGCTGACGGAAGGAGTATGACGCGCTGAAATCTACCGGTAGTCAGGTTCTGCGGACCTGTTTTGAAAAGTCCCGGGGGGTAACTTCCTCGCTGGGCCAGCGTTTTAGGTCACCTCCTTCTGCCAGCAGCAGATTGCCGGAATACAAACCGAGAAAGAGCAGGAATCAACCAAGAACTTGACTAAATAGAAGAAATACGGTATAGATGGCGTGTTAAAAGTAAAACAATAGAAAAATGTGGTGTGTAAGTTGGAAACAAGCGCTAGTTCGAAAAGTGGTACCAAACATCAGGAAACTATTGGTTGTTGTTAGAGCCTAACATAAGTTTGAGATATCTCTTTTTAAATGTGCACATTATTTAAAACAGGATCCTGAAGAACACAGTTTAAGGAAGAAAATGAATAAATTAAAACATGAAAAATGTTAACCAAAAATATTGGAAAGTTTCTGAAGCTTCAGTAAAATTTAATAAAATTAAGTATAATTTGCTAAACAATTTGAGAAAAGCAAAAAGATGAGGACTGACTGATAATCGATGACTGATAAAAATTTTGACTGACTACATATCTGACTAATCGTTTTGTGTTCTGTGTTTCTGTTTGTGTTCATGCTGGCGTAAAAGAGTGTGATTGAAAACTTTTAAATAAATAAATAAAACAAAAGGAAGTCCAAAAAAGTGAGGGAAAAGAAGGTTAGGAAGATATAGAGTATTGGCAAATAAATAAACAAGGATCTGAATAAATAAATGGTTCAGTAAATAAATGAAATAAAATAAAAAAATGATCTAAAAATAAAATAAGAAAATGCGTTGCATGATCTGAAGATGTTAGAATATGAGTAAACAAGTGCACCAGAGTCATATAATGAGACTTCGCGTCCCAAATTAGATGAAAAGAATGAAATGGAAATTGATCAACAAAGGAAACTTACCAGATTTCCTATCACTAGATAACATTAAGCCTGAAATTAACCTATTGGTTAATGGGAAAAAGATGACTCTCTTGTTTGACTATGGTGCATGTGGGACACCTTGTAGAGAATCGGTACTAAACTTAAATAAAAAAGATGATTAAAAGCAACTACAGAAAGAAGAGAGGGTTGCAAATAAAATAAGAAAATAAACATAAGAAATAATCCGAACAAAACAAGAAAAAGCAACAAGTATGTTTATTGAGACTAGAGAATGATGAAGCCGAAGGGAGGAGTTGCAATCCTGTTTACAGCAGCAGCTCTGCAACTTCTACCCCCACTAGATCCAATTGACCACCATATGAAACCTCATCACAACACTAGTCTATGTTAAGGAGAATAACAAATTTAGAAATAAGCAATAGAAGACTCCCAAATCTTAAAATTAGGTGAAATAAAAACATATTCTATGGTACAACCCTAATGGAGCAACAGATGAGTCTCCACATGTGTAAGGTTTTCATCCTTGACTGTAGGAAAACAGAACAATTAGGAGTTTCTCCAGAAATCCTTATTAGCTCTCTTTCCTGCCATAAAATCACCCCCTCCAAGAGGTGAAGGAAAGTTCATGAGGTGGAGGTGTGGATTTGTCTTGTGGTCTGACAATAGAGATTACTCAGACTAATGGAATAATCTTAAATGTAAATTGTGAAAACTAAAACTGCAAAGGATTTAAATAACCTTTTTCCGTAAGGAATAGAACTTGTTTTTAAATCTTATAGTTTTGTTCGAAACCAAAGGTTATAGGATGTTGTAGTGATGTTGCTTATTCTCACATAAGGCAGGTTTTGATGCAGCTTTAGTTTCTAAATTCAGGGAGTGGATCTGTTGAGAAACCTTAATGACTTTTCTTTGAAACAAAGGCCCCTCTTAAGGAGTTAAGATGCAAACTGGCCACAAAGTTCATTTATTGGATTCTCCAAAAGACATTACAGCTCTTAATGTTTTTTGTTTCTGTGTTTGGGAAAGCAAATGCTTTAGGTGTAATAAAAAAGATAAGCGAAGTTTTAAACATTTCACAACTGAAAAGAAAAGAATTCTGATTGTGTTAATTCTATTCTGTCTTTTTACGGGTTGCATTATTCCTTGTCTACGAAATATGATATTTAAAACAATTAACACGACTGTTATCAACTATCAGCTGACAAAGGCATCTTATGAAACAACTGAAGATGACTTGTTCCAAGTTTCTGACGATTTTCTGAACAATGATGAATTTCTGTAATCAATAAACAGATGAATTCATTTGCTGAATGACTCCTACACCGAAAATGTGGGAACAAGTGATGTTTAGGATGAGAAAACTGCATTTGATTTTTTACTGTTTATTCTTTTGTTTTTTCATGTATTTCATTATATAACTTTTATTCATTATGTATTCTCTGTGTTTAGATTAGTTTTTTATTATTTTCTTTTATTTCTTTTCTATATTTGGCTTCTGCATAGCAGTTTATACACATAGTAAAATGATAAAAAGGGGGGAATGTTAGATATTTTTTAACATTATCATTTTGTTGTTACTTTAGTTTATATTCAGTCTAAAGTATTATTGTGATTTTAGTATAAACTGACCTGGAGGTTACGACTGTCTTCATGCGAGATAGTAAAACTTTATGGTTCTCAGACCCTAAAGTTTTCTCTGGTGTTTATCTACCCGGTCTTAGGTGACAGTTTGACCCAGAGCTGAACTGGGCTCAGATTGTAAATTAGATATCACACCTGGAACTGAGTTGTTGGTCTGTTTGTGTTAAATGTTTTACGACCTCTGTTGTTTGATGCTTTGACAATAAAGAGGGAGCTCACGTGAAAGCAGATCAGAACTCTCTATTGACCAGCCCGGAGGAGCTGTTGATCGGGATTTCTCCTTCTGCAGAAGCCTGACCATATTTAATTCATATACGTTGTCTGTGGTTATTTTATTGTAGGTTCGAGGAAAATACCTAACAGTGCTTATGACAGGGCAATCACCCATGTATTTATACTAAACACATATTAATGTTGCAGGGTTGGAAACTTAATATTTGTAAACGGATACAAAAAAAGGTCGTGTTTGCTGAAAGCATTAAAGACTCCCATTTGCAGTTTGGGCCTGATGTTTGCAAAACAGGAAACGTGACAAAAACAACTCTGATCAGATAAAAGTGAAACAGGATTGTTTGGTTTGTATGTCAACACCACTGTGTTCCTCTTCCTAGAAGGGATCATATTTATGCAACGACAATAAATCAAATTAATCTGATCTAATCCAATATTTTTCTTTAGAAGTTGCTGAAAGGCTAACAATGGGGATATGGATTACAAGGGTGTGATATGATGGCAGAATATTCAACCATTCTTCTAATCGAGGGTGTAAGTTTGCATTACAGGTTGGTGGGAACGAAGCGGAGCGAGGGATGGATAACCATGGATAACACAAGGAGTAAAGGCTGTCCTCAACCAAAAGAAGGCAGCTTTAATGACTTCAGATAAGGAGAAGATTAAGGCAGCACAAAGGGAGATGGAATGTTGTCTGAGGGAGGCAACAGTATGCAACAGGAGGAAGGTGGAGCAGAAGCTGAGGGGAAACTGCCTAAGTGATGTCTGGAATGGTTTCAGAACCATAACAGGGCACAAAGATCTGACGAGCACAGAGAGAGGAAGTAAAGAAAGAGCTAATGAGCTGAATAACTTTTTCAATAGCTTTAGCCATTATGCTTCACCCACCACCATTACTACATGTACTCTGCCTCAGTGCTCTCCCCCAGTACATCCTCCTCCTTGCCAGCAGGTGCAGTCATTTCACCATCATGACACCCTCGCCTCACCTTTATCCCATTTTATCCCATACCAGCCCCGTGACCCAACCTCCTTCTCCAAGGCAACCTAGTAGCCCGTCTCCTTTCTTTCCTTCCTCACAGCCTCCTCCACACTTTACAGCTGATCAAGTGACAGCAGAACTGAGTAAGCTTCGACCCTGAAAAGCTGCAGGAGCCGACAAAATATCCCCTTGTATTGTCAAGATCTGTGCTACCATGACAAGGAATCTTCAACCTCAGTCTGCACCTTGGGAACGTGCCCACACTCTGGAAGACATCCTGCATCAGTCCTGTCCCTAAGAAGAGCAGGACCAGTGAGCTGCCTGACTTCAGACCAGTGGCACTGACATCACATCTGATGAAGACTCTGGAGAGGCTCTTCCTTCGCCACCTCAGAATGCAGGTACAGGATGCTGAAGACCCCCTGCAGTTTGTCTACAGGGCAGAGGTCGGAGTCGAGGACGCCATCATCCACCTCCTACATGGATCCCGCTTGCACCTGGACAAGGGAAGTGGCAACATCTGGATCCTCTTGATGGATTTTTCAAGTGCCTTTAACACGATCTAGCCCCCTGCATTCTGGGAAAAACTTACCAGAATGAAAGTGGATTCCTGCCTGGCCACCTGGATTTGCAACCACCTTACTGTCAGACCAAAGGTCGTCAGGATGAACAACATCACGTCTGACACTGTGGTCAGCAACATTGGAGCCCCGTAGGGGACGGTGCTGTCATCCATCCTCTGTTCACCTCAGACTTCTGCTATCACTCTGAAATGTGTCATATTCATAAGTACGCTGATGCCACTGCCATCATGGGATGATTCAAAGACAGCGAAGAGGAGTTCAGGAGCCTGGTGAGGCACTTTGTTGTCTGGAGCCATAGAAATCGCCTACATCTAAACACTTCCAAGACAAAGGAACTGCTCATCTATAATAGTTTAAATAGACAAAAATATTTTTCATGCTGTTAAGACAACAGACAGCACATCTGAAGATCAAGGAGGGAAAGCTTTTGAATTTTAGTCCACAAACATTAAAAGTTGTTATAAAGTTTTCAGACAAGGTAGAAAAATCACAGAAACAAAAACTGTGTCGTGGGGTTTGAAAGAACTTCATGCAGTTAAAAATAATCTCTAAAATATACATTATTAGACTGTCAGGCAACTCTAAAGTGGACCTCAATGATTCTGCGTTTTACTCAGAATTTATTTTCAGAATATTCCATTTTTAACAACTCAAACTGTAGAAAATGTATTGATTTCTTCAGCAGGATGCCACATTGTGGACTGTAAATTGATCTTTTTGTCAAAATGTTGACAGTGTTGGGTTCTCAGGTGTTATTGACCAGCTACTTCACTGGTCAATAAGTGACCAGTGATTTGTTCCAAGGTCACTCATTAGTATTTTGGTGAGGTGAACAGGTGCCAAGACCCTCCGGAAAGAAAAGTTGTGTATCTTAATGGTTTTAACGACAGATAAACTGCAACACAGTCCCTATTTTCTATAATTCCTAGTTTGGTTTGGTTACTTATTCAATTCTTCTCCTTATCAGTGCTGGACTGGCAGCTTGCCCAGTTCAGCACTGTCCTCCCAACCACTGTCTGCTACAAAGTCGACCTTCAACTTATTATGTCATGCCATCCTGTTCAACTAAACAAGGTCAGTCTGACTTATAACACCAGAGCAGGTCATGTAAGTTTTAGCATTTCTTAAAAGGTATACCATGTGGGTGGGTATATGATAAACTTTGTACATTTACCACCATTACAATCCAGGATTAGTTGTTTTTTTTTCTTTTGTGACATTTTGGAATATAATTTGCATCTTTTAGCTTCGAAAGGATTTTTTTTTCTGACTTTTCGGAGTCAGCCACCGAGAGTTGCAAAACTGCCCTTTTGCCCCACCCGTGTTCAATAAATCTGTTACTTAACCGTCTCTCGGATGAGAGCAGCCTCACTTTTTCTGTTTACCATCAGCAGAAGAAGATGGAGCCCCGTTTTGTGAGCGTTGTCCTGCTGTTGGTCGTCTGGCTTTCTTCAAGTCAAGGTAACGTAACACTTTTTGCACACTGGTGTTGCAAAAAGTAATAATCTTTTTTTTTCTCTCCCCAATTTCCTCAGCATGCATTAAAGGCTATCTGGAAAACGTGGATTTCCCCGGTTCAGACGTAGCAGAAATGTACGCGCCGACCTTGGAGTTCTGTCAAGAGCTGTGCACCCAGCACCCGTCGTGCCTCTTCTTCAGCTTCAATCGGGCTGACAAGTCGTCAGGGTATGAAAAACACAAATGAAAGATTTCGCCAAGACACTGTGCAAACTTTAATACTAAAATAGATTGAAACGCATTAAAAAATATATTTCAAAAATCTAAAAAAGATTCGAAAGTTGACACAGGCTTTGGTGAAGAATATTTTGAACGTACTATTTTATTTTACCAGAGAGCTGGCAGGCAGAATGTGCTCAATAAAACACTGAAGTACTAAAACAAAAAAGGGTAATATATTTTAAAACAAATATTTTTCTTCTTCTCTTCTCAGGCGTTTTCGATGCTACCTGAAAGCAAGTTCTACTGGACACCCACAGGCTCAGATTTTACAGTGGGGCGTCTCGTCTGGCTATTCGCTCAAAGGCTGCAATACGGAGCCAAGTAAGTTCACTTAAACTTTACAATCCTGCAGCTGTAAATCACTTGGTGTTCAATACATTGTTCCTATACGAATGTGGTGATGAAATTTAGTGGTAAAAAAATCTTACTGTACTTTTTCCTACTAAACAAAACTCCTGAGTGAACACAATCGTAAAGCTGTGACTCTCTTGCACATGCGTGTCTAGATTTCTCGAACGTTTATTGACCATATTTCTGTCGCCGTGGCTCCAGCGATTTGTTTCTCTCAGGTTTTTGAGGATATGGAATTCCACGGTGGGGATTACAGAACCTTTTTCACTGTGAACTATGAGGAGTGTCAGAGGGTCTGCACGCTTGAGCCGGTGTGTCAGCTCTTTTCGTTCATAAAGGCGAACTTCTCGTCTCCAGATGTCAGGTAAATCTGAACTACCCAACAACATCAATGGTATTTTTGTTGTTGTTGTTGTTTATTTGTTTGGTATGGGTGACGTATACCAAAGCCAGAGCCAGAAGACGTGAGAGGTCTGGGAGGTCGGTACGACAACAGCAGATCTTTGGTGGTGATGTCCACATTGCATATGGATTATGGAAATAATCAACCCGTCATATCTTGAGTCTGGGTTCTGCCATGTTCCTCCAACTACAGAAGCTTTTGGTCTGCTGCTTCAGGAGTCACTGAACCAATCCCTAAAAGACTCAATCAGCCCAATGGCTTCTATTACCACTGGTGCTGAAGGTCCAAGACATAACACCGCAGCTGTGGTCATGCAATTACAAAATGATCACCAAACCCTGGCCTGATGATGGCCCGGTACACTCCAGAACCACCTTGGAACTGTTTGGGGTTTTTTGTTTTTCTTTTAGAAGAAAACCTTGTTGTTCCCTCTGTTCTAGGTACAAGTGCCACCTTAAATTCAGCTGGTTCGTGCCCTCCCCTGCTGCTATCGCGCTGAAGGCCGGAGTCGTTTCTGGATTCTCTCAGAAATTATTGCTCTCTCAACAATTTGACTCAGGTACGCGGACGACCGGAGCGTCTCCGTGGCGATGTAATGTGCGTCGACACTTTTGCCTCCTCATCGCCTCTATTCTGTGCTTCGCGCAGTTTGTCGGAGCCATTTTTTTTCAGACATCGACTTCAGAGGAAACGACTTCCTGGAGCTGCAAGCCGTCTCTCCCGAACATTGCCAGTTCCTGTGCTCCATCCATCCACTGTGCACCTACTTCTCCTTCCGCAGGTGGGGAGCCCGGGTCTGTCTCAGACATTTGCAGATTATGGCTTTGATTCACTTTGACCCTTAAACTACTGCAGAGAAACGTTGAAGGTTTTGTTTTGTTGCCTCGTACTTTGCAGTGACGAGTTCAGGTGTTTTCTGAAGAACAATCCAAACAGCATGGTGGCCAAACCGAAAAGCAACTTCACGTCAGGAATATCGCCTCAGCTCTGTCAGATTGACGAGAGTACGTTCGCCTGTCTTCATCGTCCAAAAGCCAGAACAGGACACACTTCCATGACCAACGCGCTTTAAAACACACCTGCACTCAGGATCTATGGCAGTGTTGCTTCCACAGAGACAAAAGTTGTCACATTAATCTTTCCTTTCCATCCAGTCGAATTGCTTTGTGTGTGAATAGTGCTACGTAACTAAACTCTTCATCTGAACTGGTTTGATTTTAACGGTGTTTGGTCCTTAAAGCCAGTCCAAGACCTGAGCAAACTCAGCTGCTGCTTAGAGCCCCAAAACCATAAAAGCTTGACTTTTTACGCATGTCATACGTCTAACATATTTATACTACTTTATTAAGAATGGGAATTTCATTCAATTTAATTTGACAATTTAAGCATTGACAATTTGAAATTCTTTAAGTGGTTTAATAATTGTATTTAAGCTTAAAAGAAAACAGCAAGAGCATTTTGTAAAATATAATAGTGCGTCACTGATTCCTGTTTGAATATTCTTGCCATCTGAAGCTACGAACTCAATCTCAGTTTGTTCACAACTATATTTTAGCAAATGGCCAAGCTGTCAAAGATCGACTTTTAATCTCAGCCAATTAATTGGCAGAGGCTGTAGCACTCTAGTTTACTTAATTTCCCTGATCTTCCATTTACAATCAAATTTTAAAATATTATTACAGAGTATTAGAGTTGAAATGCGCTTCTTGTGCCAAACATTTTGAACTATTTCCTTTCCAGGAAGCTGCTGTTTTTCTCAGCATGTTCCTGAAGTAGTTTGCTGTCAAAATCCAACCATTAAAAGCTATTTTTGCTGACAGGCTGGGCTAAGCTGACCTACGAAGACATGGAATTTCTTGGCTCTGACTATAGCTCCGAGGTGGTGCCCAGCGTGGAAAACTGCCAGGACAAATGCACAGAGGACCGCGACTGTCAGTTCTACACCTTCCACAACGGGAGCTTCTTCCACCCCGAGCATCAGTACGCCGTCTCTGCTCATCAAATGTCCACACTCGGCTGCAGCGGTGACACCCGTATTGTTGTTTTTCTTTTTGTGTCGCAGGCACCGCTGCAATATGAAGCGAGTCGTCACCATGCCCATGCCTTCCCAAGTTAGGAAAGTGGTCGACGTCATCTCTGGCTTCTCCTTGAAGAACTGCAAAAGTCCATAAAAGTCTCAGGATTAAAAAAAAAAAAAAAAAAAAAAATCTGTCGCTCTGTTTGCATGTGACAGAATCCATCTGTTGACTTCAAGCAAATATTTACAGATTTTTTTTTCCTGTGTTTTTGGTTATGCAAAAAGTAAGAAAATAAATAAATTAAACTATCCAACAATGGTTTTGGTTTGATTTTGAAATATCTCTGTCATTTTTTTCGTCTTACAAAGGAACATTCAACAGGCCGGGCATATTTTACATGCTCCACCGTGTTTTATCAGCATCATTCTTATTTTAAAGCACATCTGTACCTTTAAGGAAATCCACATTTCAGTTGATGTGTATTGAATACCTGAAGACAAAACCGACTCATCTTCCAGGCCTTTAATCTGAGATAGAGGATTAGAAATGATGCTGCACATTTTACACAAATCCCATGAAAAGCTCTCGACGCGGTTCAGTAAAACTGGCTGAGCACAAAGACGAGATCCCAAGTTAACTTTGAATTCCTCCTTTCGTGAAACAGTGCAGGTGCATGATGGGAAGGGCTGAAAGGCCAAAGGCATGGAGGTTGTTCTTCTTCCTGTCTGGAACGGACCGTTGACCCGTCGCCTGCAATAAAACCCGGCAGTGTTATGTCAACTTGTCCGTTCGAATCAGATAACACAAGTCAATGTGACCAACATAAGATGGAACAACTGGTTTGTTGGTTTTACCTGTTTAGACAAAGAGCTTGTCAGCACTTTATAACTATCAGAGAAGCAAATGTTTTTAAAATTTGGTCTTGGCTTCCTGTTCTGTCTCACTGGCTGCACCAGCAAGACCATGAGGAAATCTTTCTGGCCTCTTGACCTGAAAGGAAACCCGGCAGCTTGCAAAAATGTCCTTTGACCTCATTTGACCTGATATTTGTCCTTCAATTGCCGATATATCTGGATCAGATATAAGACGCCTGCTCTCTGCCAGCAGCTGTGCCTTCAGTGGCCCAGAGTTTGGAAACAATATACACAAAAAAACCTCAACAAAAATAGATTTGTTTTTTTAATGAATCACTGTTTTGTTTTCATTTGGAAACTTTCAGTATTTTTATTACTGCTTTCCAATTTTTTAGAAATGATATTTGGTGTTTGTCTCGCCGTTATGAAGTTTTTAGCTGTTTGCTATGAATCGTCTCAACGTTACTCTCCTAATTAGTGCCACTAATAATAAATGTAACAATAAATTTGATGAGTTGCAACTTTTTCACTCACTGTAATGCAAGGACAAATTGGTTAACATGGGGATACGTGAAGTGTAATGGCTGTGCCTATGCATTGCCTGGGAAGTTCAGGATCCAAGAAGAACTGACTCAGATGTCGCTTTAATTTTTATGCTTAAATATAAAGAGAAAGGTGAATAAATATTTTTTTATATCAGTGGAATTTGTCATTTTATTGATGAGATCAAATAACAACAATGCTGTAGCTCCAGTTTGTTGCAGCTTTGTTTGAAAATCTGCACGACGGCTGGCCGGTTAGCTCAGCTGGTTAGCGTCTGGCACTAATAACACAAAGGTCGTGGGTTCAATCCTCATACTGGCCAATTGAAAATCAAAATCAACTCTTACAACGATTGTTTTAATAAGATGAGCTCTTTTTAAAATGTGGAAACATTTTACACATATTGCATCGGAAGCATTTTCATTATTACATCATAGAACTTTGGTCAAGTCTAATTTGCAGGAAAATAATTTTTTTTTAACTGAGAAAATCCTGGTCAGGGCAGTAATGCCCTGATCTAAAGAAAATGGTGTCTTTTACAAAGGTGAAATAAAAAATTATGTACAAATAATCCATAACCTGCTTACCGATTATTGATCAGATCTTATTTGCAGTCATTTTGTGATCTACATCCTGCAGAAAGTTTTTTCTTTAGTATTTACATTTGCCAACATATTTAGTACATTTTCGAAAATAAGTTTTCTTTTACTTTCATGGTAAACTTATATGACCAGCTTAACTTCCTTTTTCCTTCATGTACAATTATGTAAGTTAAAGGTAGAAATGTCACATTCAGTGATGTAACTCATGCTGTTGCACCTCATTGTCACCTCTATATGTATTCAGTTGCCGTTATTCTATCTTTAGACATTTACATACATAGAGAAAACGTTATGAAATTTGGATAAATACTGTAAGGACTGGCTACCACCAAATTGCACCAATATCCCAATGATGACTTATCTGGAATGTTATGGACCGCAAAACTTTCTCTCAGTAATTTTGGTGGGTCTGTGCTCCATTTCAGCAGCTCAGAAAAAAAAACATCATGCAACAATCAGAGGACTTGCTGTAACATCATGATTTTGTGGTCATATTATATTGGGGAATGAAAAGTGGCAAAATCATGGAGTGGAAAAATCATCACAGGACTCGTCTCTCACCAATTGGGAGATTTATTTAGCTAAATCATTTAGCACATCAACAAATTCAAGAGTCACAACAGAACTTCCAAGATCTTACAAAATGTATGAAATCTCCCAACTTTTAATGGTTATAAAACTTTTGTAGGACGTAAAACCTGTTGGTGTGTATTTGGAAATTTCAGCCAATGGTGTCTTTTCCCCTAATTTCTTGTTTTGGCTCAATTTATAATGACTGGATATTTCCAGTAAGCCCACAGCTAGGATATGTGAAAACAGCCTATGTGACGAAGTTTTGAGTTATTTTCTTATCAATCCAAACTTAGACTTTCGTATGCAACTGATTTTACTGCAGCACATAAACATCCTCTTTAAGTAAGCTGGTTTAGAACACCACTACGACCTATTTCCTGACTAAAACTGCACAAACATAACTATTCTCCAAAAGTTGCAAACCGTTTCACAATCACTCTTGTTAAAAATGTGCCAAGAAATCAAAACAAAACCTTCAGCAAAAAAACAATATCTCATTTTCTGAAGGTAACAAAAAATTTACGTCAAAAGAAAATAAAAGTTTATTTCTGGAAGTTTTCTGTCTATTTAAACAGGTGACTTGCTGCAGTCCCTCAGGCTGAAGCCAGACACAGCGTTGACTAGACTGGAAACTCTGGGAGGAGCTGGCATGGTGATGACCCTCTTCAGATAGCAGCGACGCCTGCAGCAAAAAATATCGGTTCAGCGACAAAGAGTGAATTTCTACCTGAATTTCAACAAAGATGTGTGGATAAGGAACACTGTACCAGTGTACAGGGTAAAGGGCCGTTTCACCGACGTAGGTGTAGAACTGGCAGTTGGGATCCTCGTCACATTTCGACTGGCAGAGCTCTGCTGTATCCATGAGCTCGAATCGAATGTCGGAGCCACGGAAATCCACTCCTTCATAGCTCTGCTTGACCCACGCTGGTAGGAAAGATGCATTTGGTCAAATCTCTGCTGTTAAAATATCAGTCTAGAGTCCAGGATGGGCTCAGTTATGGTAGCATCAGTAATTAACCAACTAAATCTGACGTAACTCAAAGAACCTCCAACATTTATTTCAGCTTTGGACTTTGTTTCACTGCATCTCTGCTAATGACCAGAAAGTGTGTTGTTTTTTTTTAGTGTTAGAGATGATTCATGGTACGTACTGTCATCAAGCTGACAGAAGTGTGCCGGGATGCCTGACGTGGTTCCCTCTTTTGGTTTAGCTGCTAACCCGTTGACGTTGTTCTTCAAATAGCATTTGAAGTCACTGCTGCAGAATCACAAAGATTTAAAAAGGTTTTCTACATCTCAGTTGGATCGACCAATCAGAACAGCCGTGATAAATAATCATTTACTACCTGCTGAAGGAGAAGAAGGTGCACTGTGGATGAGCCGAACACAGGACTTGACAATGTTCAACGGACACAGACTTCTCCTGGTGAAAGTCGCTTCCAGGAATGTCAGTGTTCGCAAAGAACTGGTTCTGACATGCTGCAAAAAAAATAAATAAAATTTCAACAACATGAAAATTAAAAACAATATAACACCAACGTTTTAGCTCTTCATATTTGTTTACGTGTGCCAAGTTCTTGAGTCTGTTGGGCTTTTTGGGCAAATCCAGACGTGAGTCCAGCGATTTTTACCAAAATAGGAGTCCTTGGGACACTCCAGCTAAACTTAAGGTGGCACTTGAATCTGGACTCAAAGAAAAGAAACATTTAGATGGCAGAGCCAAGATGTTCGGAGGCCCTGCTGCATGATCTCTTGCAGAGAACATATTACAAGAATTTACATAATCATCAGGAACTTACAAACACAAAAACAAATGTTTAGCACAAGCAATGCAGGGCAGTATACTGAGAGACTTGTTGTCTTCCATGGACATGAAAAAATGTGGAAGTGTCCTGGTACAAATATCTCTAAACACAGGCACTTCCAGTAAGTTAAAGAAAGTAAAGCTTTGTTTTTGTTTCAGATTCATTCAAACTGATTGCAAGCTAGTTTTACAAATTTAGTAAAAACCCTAGTAAATTTCATCTGTGTGGCATTTTCCATATCAATTTCTATTTATTTTGGATTCTGCTTGTCTTCAAATGTGTCTCTGATTGGTTCAGAAATATTACTTATCTAGTGCCAGTTATCTTTGTTCACAACATTTCAACTGAACTTTACTTTAGAAATGTCAAATTGATGTTGAGGCCACATTTTTCAAATGGATGAGCGTCAGTCACTGCCCTTCATTTTAATCTTTAGCACGCCCTCTAGTGGTTGAGATTACATTAACCATTCTCATGTCTGCCACATTTAACTTACTGGGCAAAAACATTTGGAGTTCAATTTTGTATCTTTATTATTATGTTTCAGTCAAGTTTAGAACAGCAGATATTTCATTGTTAACATTGCTGAGTGTTTTCTTTCACACCACTTTATTTCTACTGAAGATGTTTCACTCTGCACCAAATGAGAAGATAATTAACTTTTACCTGATGTATTGATTTGTGAACTCCCCTTTTATAAAAGTAAAGAACTGACACCAAGGATCCTGTGTGCAGACTCTCTGGCACTCCTGATAGTCAGGCGTGAACAAGGTTCTGTAGTCTGAGCCATTAAAGTCCACGTTCTGGAAGATCTGAGAAAAACAAGGCTCTGACAGAAACCAGAGAGTATTCAAGAAGCCATGGTTAGCAAAGACAAGCCTGTCCTTATGTTGCTTAAAATCTTGATAAACGTTTGCTGTTTTTTCCTGAGCACGAAATAATAATTTGTAATTATTCAGCATGTGAACCTACTTGGGTCTGGATTGCAGGACTTGAGAGAAAAGCCAGAGGTGACGCCCAAAAGAGGAGCTTGGGAAGATGGCTGCCCAGAGGGGGTGGATTTGAGGTAGCAGTGAAAGATCCTGAAGAGAAAAGAAAGGGTTTGTGGAGGGGATAGCATCATCATCATTTTTAATCATCATCAAGTTTATTAGAGACATGAATATATTGACAATAAAATACAATGCAAATAAAACAATGTCATCATTTTATCAACTTTATTAAAAACACAAGGACATAAGAAAGTTAAAATGCAAAGACATAATTCTAAAAAGATAATAATGACAAATGTAAGTCACAGATTTATAAAACGGCCGAAATCACAGTGGCTCAATATTCTTTAAATATCTTGAATATTAGTAACATTTAAGTACTAAAACATATAAAACAGATAAAAGAGATAAGCATTAGTACAATAGAAAAGTTAATAAGGTGCTTATCTCCAGCTAACGAGAGGCGGGGTCAGCCTGGACAAGTTTCCAGTCTGTTGGAGGGAAACACAGAGACAGACAGGACAAACAACCATGCACACACACACACACACACACACACACACACACACACACACACACACACACACGCACACACACACACGCCCACACACACACACACACACACACACGCACACACACACACGCACACACACAAACGCCCACACACACACACACACACACACACACACACCACACACACACACACACACACACACACACACACCTGGGGAGAATTTACAGAGACCTGACTGTCATGTTTTTGGACTGTGGGAGGAATCCGGAGTGGAGAACCCAAGCATTCACAGGGAGAACATGCCGACTCCATGCAGAAAGTTTGCTTGGCCCTATATTAATAGTTATGTATTTATTTTTGACTGTCTTTTTCTCCTCTGGGGAAACTCATTGAAATTCTTCATCTCTTGAACTATTATTTTAGTAAGTGTGGGTCCTACCTGTTGTCTCCGGTCCAGTCGGGCCTGATGAAGGTGAAGAAGAGGCAGGCGTGGTGCTGAGTGCACAGCTGCTGACAGTGCTCCACGCTAGGAGAGTAGAGAAACGTGATGTCTGATCCGGGAAAGTCCACGTTCTCCAGAAGTTCATTGAGACATGCTGAAGGAAACAGAACTCAAAAGTTTACATGTGATAAATAAATAGACATTCTGGAAATAACTAGTCATTTTAGAGTGCTACCTTTACTGCTGGAAAAGCTGCTGGCCACCAGAAGGCCCACCAGAATCAAACAGCTGCCCATCTTCTTCTGCGGACACAGCGCTCCCTCTGACTTTTAAAGAACTGCTTCTGCAAATGCCAGGTCAAAAAACAAGTTTACAAAAAAGTCAAAGGGCAAGTTACCTCACAGCCTGTTTACGCAGTCGGATTGTGTCACGTTTTATACAAAACCTGTGTCTGTTTCGAAACTGATTGAATTTTCCTGCATGCTGAAAAAGTCAAGGTCCTTTTTTTCAGCATGCAGACAAAGTTGCAGTAGAATTTTCTTAAAACTGAAATGTAACACATTACTTTACAGTCATGCACTACTTTGTCTTAACTTGTTCATGCAAAAATCCCCCCCAAAATGCAGTGAATAAATCAATATCCTCCATCTTTTAGGCTTGTCTTTGTAACAAAACCACTTTTTATGCATTCTTCTTGGTCATTATCGTCCTGAATTTGTATTTTTATTAAAAACTACATTTTTTATAATGGAAAGTAAAAAAGAAAAGAAAAAAGTATATGAGTAATATGGAGTCTTTCCTGGCATCCTTCTACTTGCTCTGCAGAGGACCAGTGTGTCCTGCAGGGGGCGACATCTGCTCAATGGACCTAGAATCAGTACCTTGAGAAAACCGTCGACCTGAATATAAATTCCTCCCTCAGCATGACAACTTCTGCAGTTGGGTTCAGCTGTTATGTAATGACAAGCTTGTTTTTGGGAAGTGGAGCAAAAGCCTTTCATGGCGGCATCGGCCAAGTTACACAGTCACATCTTCCTGTACCAAACATGTTACAACCTCAAACCGCTGTATTATTTTTTTAAGAGAAGACGTACAAGGACGAACCTTTCACTTGATTCTCTTGCCCTGTTGCGTAATAATCAGACTGTTAGAGCGAGGCCCCGTGTAAATGATTCACCTTTTTATGTTTGCATTAATGGAGGAACACAGCTGTATCTTCTGCTGGGAATCCTGCACAGGGTGAGGATGTTAACTCATTTACTTATTTCATTTCCAGCCACTGTTTTCCTGCTTTAGTCAGAATCTATTTCAATTACACCTGGAGTCAAAAACAGAATAAAAAAAAAAACAGCATTCTCCTTGGATTAACAATTTACAGGGGATTTCACACAGTGTACAAACCAGAGTCACAAAGTAAAACAATAATAAGTCATTCTCACTTGAAATGGATCTCATCTACGACTCACAGATTGCTTGATAGAACTTGACCCGTCAAACGCATAAATTCTCCAAATGTGTCAGATTCTAATGACAACTCTGCGTCCTCGGTCCTGTCCATCAGATTTAGAGCTGGATTCTTGCTAGGCCTCTCCAGGTCTTCAATTTTCTTCACATGAAGTCATTGTTTTGTTTATTTGACAGCACACTCACAGTGTCCTCACTGTGAGGCTGGAAATAATGAAACAACTCGCTATCTTGGTCTTTCTCGTAGATAACTGGGGGCTTTTGTGTTATGTGTTTTTCATGCTTTTATAGCACAATGAAGTAACTATGTTAAATTCAGTTGTTAGAAAAAATACTACAGGCATTGAAACTGGGCCTGCGTCGCTTTAAAAGCTCCTAATCTTTCTGAAACTTTGCCTTCAGGAAGTCATCACAGCTCGGCTGCCATGTTAACGTCAGACGGCTGATTTTACACACTATTAAAACTACGTCACAGAAATGTTTTCACTACAGGACAGTTTCTCCTGTCTGAGTCTGTAAGGACAGGGTGGGATGTGGGTTAAGGAAAAAAGAAAAACCAAACGTTGCTTTTTTTTATCCGTCTAATAGCTTGAGGATGCTTTCGCTCTCCTTCAGAGCTTTCCAGGCCTGATCCTTCTCCTTCTTGGTCGGTGTGCGCTTCTTCTGCCTGGCGGCCATGATGCGCCAGAAACCCTCCATCACATCGTCATCATTATGTTAATCCCACAGCCCTCTTTGGGATTATACTGGTCATTACTCAATAAATGGACATTTCTCATTCACAAATTGACCTGGAGAAAAGCTAATGCGAGTGTCACAATTAGAATGAGAAAGTGGAGACAGACTGATTTCAGCTCTATTTATTTTATTGGTCACAGCACAAAACGCACATCTTTATAGGAAATTACATACAAATGGTATCAGGTAAGCACCTATCAGTGAAAGCAAATGGTATTTTTGTTTAACATGTAAACCTCTACAGTAGTGCAGCAGAAGATGTAGCTTCATAGTAAATGCAAAAGGAACATCATTTCCAGCTCAAAGGTTCTTCAGTGCATCCATTCCTGGACTCTCCTTCCAGTTGAGAGGCCAGGTGTTCTTGACGCTCGGTCTGTCCTTCACAGTGTTGTGGTAAGCTGCCAGTTTGGGGAAGTGCTCCTCATTCAAGCTGCAGACAATTTAAAAAGAAAAAGCATTTAATTGTCGCCGTTTCCTTCATTTTTCTTTCATTCACGTTGAAGCGATGCGGACTAATTTCACCCGCTTACCCAAAGCGGAAGAGGAAAGCGATCACTGGGAAGATGATGACATCAGCCAGAGAAAAGCTCTTTCCTGCAAGGTAAGGACCTGTTGCCTAGGAGAACATAAAGCAACATGATTTTAATTGCAAACTTTTGCATCACTTATTACCTGACAGTCAGGGACGAGGCTGCGGTGTTAGCAATGCCTAACACCGCAGCCATTGCTGCTCAGTGTGTCTTGATATGTAATCCAATCACAGCTTGGTAGCAAATAAAAGGTGACATGTCAGAGGTAGTCATGTTCTTTTTGAGACAAGCAACGACAAAGAGTCCACAGAATACCTCAAGCTCTTTTTTGCACGAGTTCCAGTCTTTACCATACAAAAAGGAAAAACAAAAAGTAAAAGCTAACAGCAAATGCCAAAACCAAAGATTTTTGCAGGACGTCTTGCTTACCTGCATGTACCCCTCCCAGAGCTTGATCTCGTCCTTCAGCCCTTCTGAGTTCCTCTTCTTGGCGGAGTCGTGCCTCTCGTTCTCGGGGACGAAGCGGTCGTAGAAGAGGGATTGTTCTGATGGGGAGAGAAACGTGCAATCAGCAAGAGCGGCTTCCTGGTGAGGCAAACATCAACCCCCATGACTGCTGCCATTTCCTTGAGTGCAACGTAGGTTGGAATCTCTCAGGAGTGTCACGGGAGGAGACCAGGACAAGGCATGCACTGCACCTCCCTGTCACTTGTCTGCTATTTCCTTGTCCTGTGAAACGGGATCAAACGTCTCGTGGCTTCATCTTTGCACGCCAGCCATCATGTGGCCCTCTGTGGGGTTAACATTAAAATTTTGACGTGCCCTCATTTAGCTCGCGCGAGGTGTGTGTTTTGTTTTGAACACATCGGGGCCTCATGAGGAAGGAGGGAACATCTGAAGCAACGCCACTCCCTCCCACTGAAGACTTGACAACTCTCAGCACTGTTAAGGCTGCAGACATGGTGCTTGACGTTGCCAGGTGTGACTTGGTGCAAAAGTCCCACAAGGTGGACCTCGGGGTGTTGGAGTAAGGTGTTTATCCTCATCCTTAAATGCGCAAGAAAAGTGAAATACTTTGAATTCCTTGAGCGTCAGGGCGAGCTTACTTATTTTGTCGAAGAGCGTCAGCCCCTCAAACATGCGCTGGTACATCAGAGCAACGTCGGCTTTGTTTTCGGGCGTCAGCTTGTTTCCTTGGTTCTTGAACTGCTCCTGTTGCCGGAGACACAAGGAGAACAAAGAGCATAAGTTATGAGCAACAAGTTATGAAGGGGGCTCTGGTTTCGGCTTCCTCTGTGGTGTAATGTGTCTCTTTGTCCTCAAGTCAGAGCTGAATGCAACGGGGAAAAGCGTCCCTCCCCCCCTATTTCCTCTTGTTAACTCTTTGGAGGCACAAGGCTGCACAAAACTTTAACTAGGTTCTCACCTCCAGGTACAGGCAAACACCGTAGGACTCGTTCAGGGTGATGTTTCCGTGTTTGAAGGCAGGAAGCTTCAAGACAGAGAGCATAATGTTTAAAATCAAAGATCTTTCTGCAGACTAACTCTCTATGCATTAGTGAGTGTGACAAAAAAAATAGTTTTTTTATTTTTTTTATTTATTTTTTTTTTTTTACCATTTCTGTGTTTCAGAATTGAATGACATGAACCCTACCTGACCCCTGGGATTGATGGCGAGCACATCCTTCCCCTTGTGCTCCCCCTTCTCAAAGGACAGCATTTTGCTGTTGTAGCCCTGCAGGCCCTTCTCCTCCAGGGCGATCTGGACCCTCCAGCAGGGAGGAGAGCCGGAGCCCCACAGCAGAGTCATGTCCTTGGCCATTGTTGCAGAGTGAGAGGTGGTTTCCCAGCAGCGAGACGAGCGAGAGAGCAGGGAGTGAGTCTGGAAGTCTCCCCACGCCTGGTTTTATAACAGCCTCCAGCCCTCCACAACCGGATTGGCCGACCTGAGTCCCAACCCATGTTTGTGATATTACCAAAGATAAGTGACTGTAGGCAGTTAAGAGAGCCAACAATCTGTTTAAAAGTGTTGAACTGCTTTGCTTTATGACCCTAGAAAACAGGGTATTGCAGCCAAAGTCCATTTTCCTTTCGTTTTTACTCTGTCTGAGAATGTGTGTTAATGCTCCAGTTGATTGTACTGAGGTTGCTTCCCATGGCATGCAAGGAGGAGGGGAATTCTCTTGGTTTGAGCTGCAGATCTTTATTTCTTCCGATTAACCCTTATGGCAAAAAGAAAAGAAAAAAACGTCTAAACTCAAAAGATAAACAAGTGAAATTGCACGCATGGACTGCATGCTGAGAAAAACTTGCAGGAATAATAATTCCTGGATTTTAGACTTTGTGTTCTTGTCGCAGGGTGCAGTTGCTTTTCCTGCTGCAAGGGTGTATCCTGAAACAAGACTGGACTATTTACTAGGCTTTTGAAAACTCATTGTGACTCAGCACTTCTCATTCACCCCTGCACAAACCAACCAGAGAGGATCTGTCCCAGGCCACAACCACACTCCTCCTGAATGCTGCGACAATAAAACGAAGCAGATTTCATCATGTCAAATTGTTGTGACAGTCTGGACACTTTTCAGTGGGGCAAAATGAAACACGTTTTTTTAGCGGGAGAAATTATGGAAGCGTATAAAAGTTAAAAGACGGTGAATCAACGAACAGGACACCAACCAATTTCTGAAACTTTTGCAACAAGATGAGTTCAATTCCAATTCGTTGTCACTGAATCTGATTTCTACTCTGGTGTTCAAAAGTAAGGCCGAGTTTGTGTTTAGAGATCAACACATTGCCAAAACGGTGAGAAAAAAAACAGATTCTTTTCTGTGGCAGTGAAAAGTAAACATTTTCCCAGCAAAAAATTGCTTACGCAGCAATTTCTCTTCAGGGCCTCTCTCTCTCTCTCTCTCTCTCTGTCTTTCTGCTTTGATGGCACTCTAGAATAAAAGCCTCATTAATAAAATAAAAATTGAATCTAAAACTTTGATAAACACTCATAAATGTGCGTAACACTAAAGCTCTCTGTGAGCACAAGAGAACAGTATGAACTCTACTCATCCATCCATTCATCCCCTATTTATGCAGGGAGGAGCACAAAACGGTCTATTCCTGTTTATGGCTGGCCTTTGCACGCAGGACGATAAAATCCATCACTTACATGTCAGATAATCAAACCCTGCAGTTGACAAACATGGACAATGAATGAGGGGTGGACTTTATGATAGTTGGGGGGGTTGGGGAGGGTTTGCTTTCCTTTGTCCGCAGCTTTCACAAAAGACACACGTACGGTCCAACCTGCTCACCTGCTCAGGTGTATCGGCGGGGTGTGTTCGTGCAACGCCAGAATGTTTTTGCTTTGTTGTGCAAGCGAAAATTAAAAAAAGAGAAAAGAGCCTTGTCATCCCTGCACAGCAAAACACTCAAGAGGGCTCGTTAGGCAGAGCCAGCATGGCGATGGAGGTACAGATACAGCATTTATTTCTTAGTGATGAGAGAGGGAGAGGAAGAAATGTGAGGGGAGAGAAGGCGCCAACGAAATAATTCCTCACAAACCTCTGACATTTCTTGTGATTTTGCCTTTAGTCCCCCCCCCCCCCCCCGTATTTTTCCAGGAAGTCACATTTCGAGAATCTTCACACGTTGTTTTCTGTAGCTTGTAACTAGAGGGCGAAGCAAGCAGCCGCTTGTTTTCATTTCATTTGCAGAGAGTCTCCAAGAAACACGAAGACGCCTCTGTTGCCAGTCAGGTCCACAGAAAAGGTCATCAAATGTTAGACAGAAAAAACTTTAAGTATCAGTCACTGCGAGATACGGTTCTGAAGCACTTAAATGACCGAAATAAGCATTAAATAATCAACATGAAAATAAACACTGGCTCAAGAAGGATGTCAACGTTTGAGGGCAAAGTTTTATTTTTGGTTAACTCGGAGAATTTACATCATTTAGTTCATTTAATTTTTTGCTTATTTTCTAGTTGATTTAAAATTTGAATTTTTGTTTACTTTATGTAAAATTTGCTCTTTGGTTGGTAATTCACTTATTTAGTTAATTCAGTTTGGGACGTGGGTGTTTCACAGTACAAGTAGGTTGGTGTTATATTTTTTATCTATTTCATCACATCTCGTCATCCGGTGGACAAAAATCTGCATAACTATCTGGAGTTAGCTGCTCTACCTATCTGAATGGAGAGGTTGTAAATAAAATTTAAAATAATTGACCCTTGCTCTTTAAGTTGTAAAATGCAATAAGATAAAAAAGTACTTAGAAGTAATTGCAGTAGATAGGCTCAATTCTAACCCTAATAAATTACCTGTAAATAGCCCCACTGTTAATTTTTAAACTATGAAGGTTTCTTTGAGACGTGTCTGCAAAACGATTGGAAGACGTGTCATCGAAGCACATTTTTATTAAAATGAACCGGAATGGCTTGTTGCAAAAGTCTCCCAAAAAGACTCAAATGTGCAAAGTCATGACAACACATTCAAACGGTGAAGCACAGCAGCCAATGCTGTCTGGAATGATACTCACTTCAACCCATCTGACCAGAAATACGATAGTTTCTCACACGCGACAGACGCCCGGAGCTCCTTCCTGCACGCCTGCGTTTTTGTTTTTTTTTTTCTTTTTGCCACTGGATGGACCTGCTTAGCAGTTTGATTGTTTGGCAAATATTACATTCAGTGTTACGACTTTAAATCTTTGCAAATGTAGATTCATACAGAGAGAAAAGAAGAGATTTCCTTCCCATAATTTGCCATGGCAACAAAAACATACAGGAATACAAAAATGTCGACTTAGTGAAGAGCATGTTTACTTCCTGCTCATCCGGACGCATGTTAGTGCATCAGTCTGAATATTTCTATTGAGGCGATTGGTATAAAATTTCCACCAGATGTCAGCATGAACCTCAGCAATCCACACATAAAAGAAGAAATTAATGCAAATGTGTCCATAAATTAACCAATAAAGTGGAACGGTACAGAAAATAAGTAACAAACACATGAAGAAAAAGACGTGGAGAAAAATCAAGGAAAGTGCAGAAACCAGTAGAAACGAAACCAATATGCTTCGTGAAACCAATATCAGCTGGTTTAATATTAACTGATGGCCTATAAAAAGATTTCTCAATACCAAAGTAGTGCACAGAGTGGTGTGATGGTAAAGCAAATAGATCTTCACCAAAAAAAAAAAGCCTTGCTGTTTTGAAACATATTAATGGCAGCGGTTCCAGCTGAATATCTGATATTCTGGATTTTGGAGCGGATGGAGTCTGGCAGTGAAGAGATCACCGTCTCACCCGAAACCAGTCACAACCGGAAAACACTCCCATGAAAACACAAAGTGATGCACGAACACTGGCAAGGAAAAGCAAAAACAAACGATGTTACGGCTTGTTGAATGTTTGCTGTAGAAGATTTGGAAAAGTCAGTGACATACTAAAACAGGGGTGGGCACTCCTGGTCCTCGAGGGCCGGTGTCCTGCAACTCTTGGTTGTCTCCCTGATCCAACACACCTGAATCCAATAGCTGAATCACCTCCTAAATGCAATCAAGTTCTCCAGAGACCTGCTAATGACCTCATTATTTGACTCAGGTGTGTTGAAGTAGAGATACATCTAAAAGTTGCAGGAAACCGACTCTCGAGGACCTGGAGTGCTCACCCCTGTACTAAAAGGATTTCATTTGGTGCATTTGCAGTCAGACTGACCTGGAGTCGTTATAGAATCATCCATTTTAGAATGCAGAAAATGTTCTATCATGTCTGCGTCTCCTGTCTAAAAGGTATTTTTGCTGCTGTCCTCCAAAAACTACATGACCCAGTGCAGCCGTATGAAGGACGATAACTTTGGTTGGATTGTTTCAGATTTATTTGAAAGAAATCCAAACAGCACACTCATTAGAAAGGTTCCCACAGGTTTATTATGAGGAATATCCGATCATGTTGCTACTCCACGTTACAAGATTGTCGAAATGGTTGCATTTTTCCAGGGAAGTTACAAAAAAAAAAACATATAAAATTTTGCTTTCGCAGTCTGACTGAAATATTTCTTTGTCAGACGTCGTTCAGGATGTCTTGTCCCTTGGTGTTCTCCAGCCAATGGGGAGGCCAGCTGGCCTTGACGCTCGGCCTCTCCCTCAGCAGAGCGTAGTACTCTCCCAGTCTGGGGTATCGCTTTTCAGACAACCTGCAGGAAAAAACATCAATAAATAAAAGGGGAAAACTATTTCAACTGCACGTTTAGATCAACTGCCAGCGCATTACGCAAAAGAAGAGCTAAATGCAAACCCCACTCTGTTTTTCTCTCTCACCCAAATCTAAAAAGAGTGGCAACAGTTGGGAAAACGACCACATCAGCGAGCGTGAAAGACTTCCCTGCCAGGTTGGAGCCAGAGCCCGTCTGGAAAAGAAAGAAGAGAGTTGCACAGCAGATGAGAATCTGTTACAGATCCTTCAGATGGCTTGTGTTTTTTTTTTTGTTTGTTTTTTTTGAGCTTTGTTGGCACACCTTGTGCAAGTAGCCCTCCCAGAGTTTGAGCTCGGCCCTCAGAGCCTCTTTGTGTCTCTGCACAGTCGAGGCAAGCCTCTCGCCTTCGGGGACGTAGTATTCATAGAAAATAACTGCAGCTGCAAAGATGGGAAATGTGCTGATTTTCCAAACAAACACCTTGGACTTAAAACAAAAAAATAAAACAGATTGATATCTATTAGAAATGGTAGCATTTTAAAGTACGGCATGGGATTAACAAAAAAAAAAAAGAAATATTTGAAACCAGGATCCAAGTTAGTCTGAGTTATATACATTATAAGAAGTTGATAATTAAGCTCTGACATCTCTCTATTCAAAACCATCCTGAAATGATCCCATAGGTTAGGGAGGCGTCTCTGAGACTTGTAGGTGATTCTCCCTTGTGGTGCCTGCATAGTTACAGCAAAACGATGCAGCAGAAACATGAAAGGAGCAACAGCAGAGAACAGTTTTTATATTTAGAAGCAGAGAAGCTCGCAAAAATGTTCTAGCTGTGGCACACAGGATTTAGGCGAATGCTTCGCTTCGACTGCTTTTCTCACTCAGTTTGTCGTAGAAGGTGAGGCCCTCGAACATGCGTTGGTACATCAGCGCTTGTTCTTCAGCGCTGTCCGGGATCAGTTTTGTTCCTTGAGACTTGAACTGGCTCTGGCAAAAACGGAGGAAAGAAGAGAAAAAGAACATACGTCATATTACATACTCGCCGTGTCGGGTTGTCCTCAGTCGGTGTATGCGTCTGTGTTTGTCTCAGATTCAAGCTTTAGGGGCTCCCTCACCTCCAGGTAAAAACAGGCTGCGTAGGATTCGTTGACGACCAAGTCCCCATGTTTAAAAGACGGCACCTGAAAGAAGAATTTTGAAAGAAGAAATTTGGATTATTAAAGGATTTGTTCAAGTAAAGCAATAGGTAATCTTTAAACTTTCATTCATTTTCCAGCTGACGTTCCGGGTGAGAGGCCGGGTCACCTGGACAGGTGTCGCCAGGCAACACGGGGACAGACGGGATAAACAACCATGCACACTCACACCTAGGGAGAATTTAGAGAGACCAATTAACCTGACAGTCATGTTTATGGCCTGTGGGAGGAAGCCGGAGAACCCGGAGAGAAACCACGCACGCACAGGGAGAACATGCAAACTCCGTGCAGGACGTTTGCATGGGACGGGAATCAAACCCAGGACTTTCTTGCTGCAAGACAACAGTGCTACCAACTGCACCACCATGCAGCCCAGTGGCATTAGCTGGAGACAGCACCTGCCGACCCCAGTCGAGACAAGGGTGTAAGAAGACGGATGGATGGTTCATTTTCAAATAAAAAACAAACAGAATTCATGTTTATTTCACAAATATTTATTGATAGTGAACATGCTTTTCTCCCTACCTGACCCCTTGGATTGATATTAAACACTTCCTGAGACTTGATCTCCTCTTTGTCAAAGGACAGCAGTCTGCTGCTGTAGCCCTGCAGCTTCTTCTCCTCCAGGGCGATCATGACCCTCCAGCAGGGCGGCGAGCCGGAGCCCCACAGCAGAGTCATGTTCTTGGCCATGGCTTCAGAGAGTTGTGACAGAAAATGCTCTGTCCAGACAGGTTTGTTTCTCTCAGTCTGCTGCTGGATTGGAGGGTTTGAAAACTTGTCATCCAGTCATCAAAGACAAACTCATAAACGGATTAACAAACCCCTCCGTTCGTCAGGCCAAACGATTGTGTTCGCCCGATACAAGCTCTTCAAGCTCTTTGATGTCGGGTGAACTTTGAATAAAAACCCAAAGGTGAAAGCCAGTCATAAAAGTTTATTGTTGTGTACGTATGTGAGGAAAGTGACTGTTTTGTAGCCACACAATAAAATTATTATTACTGCTCAGTAGCTTGCCATTGTAGGGTAATCAAAACAGGTTATTTTCTATGGCTGGATGACCAAAGTCAATATGGTAAAAAGAAAAAAAATATATAACAATACTTTAGCATTAAGGCAAAACTTAATAGCTGAACAAGACAAAGTTAGTGACGTAAACTTTCCAGCTCGAATTTGAGTGAATAAAATGAAGATTTACTTGGCAAGTGGTGCAAAAGTCCAGAGAACGGGATCCTGGGAGATCTAGCAAACCAGCACTCTACCCAGGTATTTAAAAATATGTTTTACTGATATCCTAATCCACCTGCCTTTCACCCCATGATGAATGACTGTTACAAAATTATAATCTAAATATTAAAATAGAGGTTGTCTTTCCTAAATGTCCCCAGAACAGACTTATATTGTGTGAAACGCGGCAACAGTGAAAGGAGGCAGCTGAAAGTCTCACTTGTCCAAACAAACAGTCCTTGCTGTCGTTGTGAGGGTGTAGCTGCGTCAAAGTGTTACTTCAAGAAAGTAACACACCATTAGCTACTTTTCTTACAATGTGCCATTTGTACTCGAAAGTAACTTTAAGCTGATGCTGTTATGAATGGAAGACAAAATTTTAACACACTACATGTCAATTTGGGTTATTGAGCATAGAGTGGCCAAATGAGCTGATGTAGAAGCTGACCACTTCCTTTTTGAATGAAAAGAGTTTGGAGTTGCTCCTTTCAAACTTCTTTCCTTTTTTTTTTTTGCTTATCTGTGTCCTGAAATGAAATCTAGTATCTACCTGTACCTGATAGGAACGTCGCATATCTGTAAAACAAAAGAAAAAAAATCTTGTTCTGCTTTAAAAATCTGTGGGAAGGCCAGTCTTCTGCTACTCTTGCACACCAAAGGTTGCATGTCAACTAGCAACTAGTTGTGCCACCCTCGCCAAATACTATGCGTTCATTAAAAAGCTATAAAGCAAGCTTGCAGTTTATTGTGCAATTTTCCACTTCAAAATGCCAGACATTTCCAAACTCGCCCATCTACATTTTTGAGGTGGAAACATGACACCCTGGAATGTGTCAAGTTCCACCAACCATGAGACACAACACAGACGTTGGGGGGCCGGTGATCAACTCCAGCTTCCTTAGGACATAGTGGTGGCAGCATGGTGCTATGGAGATGTTTAGTTAGAACCATTTGGGACATGGATGCAACATAAAAAGTGGAAAAGGGGGGGGGAAAGTGAATTGTTGTGAATACTCGCTGGTTGGTGTAATACTTTTACAAAAACACATTTGTGTAAAACTTGAATTTCCAATGTTGAAAAACATTATATAATGTATTAGAAAATAATCTAAAAAAGATTTTTTTAAAATATTTAAATCGAGGGAATACAGTCTGGAAATCATTTAACGTCCTGCGAAGACCTGAAAGTGATAAGATCAAACCTCGCAAGAATGCATGGAATGCTTTTTAAAACTCATAAAATATTCTTAAACACAATAGTTCTGTCAATCTATTTTATTAAACTATTAAACGTCACATTTAATAAGAGGCTGACAGAGGGGGCGGGAGGACAAATCGGGGAATACCCAAAAACACGGTGAGTTTCTCCAAACGTGCAGGACATGACATCATGTTTAGTGAGAAACGACTCAATGGAGGCGACGAACATCCACATTTTAATGAGATAAACACTGACCCACATACAGCTGGGAGCTGAACATGAAATGCAAAATTATGCAAAGGACGCAATTTTAAAGGACAGATTTATGCAAAGTCATTGCAGCATGTGACATCAGAGCCACCATCATTCTGACAATGATTTTCAAACGATAAACCAGGTAACATGGATCTGCTCCAACAGGACTTTTTTATCTCTTACAGACATACTTTGAACACCTTTAAACACGCCGACCTTATTTGACCTATTCCACAATCATGGCCCCAATGTTTGTTTTTTAATAGTGCAACATGTCTTTGGCTAGCCTCTAGTTGTTGGGTAGAAAACTTGAAGCAGAACTAACTTGTGGGAAGAAGGAAGTTGTTAGACGCTTGTTAGAAGTTTTTTTTCTATGCAGAAGCGAAAATGGATTGTAAGAGATGCAGCTTTAGTGGAGGGAGACCAACAAACGGCACCGGCATCCAGAGCAGAAACTAAAATCATCTTCAGTCAAAAAAAAAATAAAAATCTTTGAAACTTTTTGACCTTTTAGAGAACAAAATCTGAATCCTGTGTTAGTCATTCTTGATTACTAGAAGATCTGATTTACAGCTGAACTACAAGGCTTCTTGTGTGCGACTGGACCCGGTCCGGTTCAGATGTCCTTCAGGGTGTCTTGCCCCTTGGGGTTCTCCAGCCAATGAGGAGGCCAGCTGGCCTTGACGCTGGGCCTCTCCTTCATCAGAGCGTGGTACGCCCCCAGTTTGGGGTAACGCCCAGCAGAGAGCCTGTAGATCAAACAGAGATGGATGCGAAAGACATCGAGTTACTTTTATTTTACTTTCATTTCAATTTTTGCGTCCAGGTTGTCTTAAAAAGTGAAATTTCACGCTTGCGCACGAGGCTGGAGGGCAAAGAGGCTCGTTGCTACAGCAACCGAATGACAACGCCACGCATGCATCGGGGTTTTTGCTGTAAAATATCTTTTACAGCAGCCCAAGAGTCATAACAGAGAACAAAAGGAATGTTGCTAGTTCTCACCCAAATCTGAAGGCAGTAGCAACAGTTGGAAAAACAACCACGTCTGTCATTGTGAAACTCTTTCCTGCCAGGTAGGAACCGGAGCCCAGCTACAGAGAGCAGAGGGGAGGACAAAGAGCCAGTCAGGGTGCAGCCGAACTCGTTTGGCTGCTTCATGATGGTGGGATCGTTGCCCAGACCTTCTCCAGGTAACCCTCCCAGAGTTTGAGCTCAGTGACCAGGGTCTCCTTGTTCCTCTTCAGAGCCGACTCGAGCCGCTCCCCTTCGGGAACGTAGTAGTCGTAGAAGATGACCGCACCTGGAAAGAGGAGAAACCAACGGGCTCACGGCAGCGCCCGTAACACGCGCACGCTCGCGTCTACAGAACGACTCGTGTTCGTCCTACTCAGTTTGTCGTAGAGCGAGAGGCCCTCAAACATGCGCTGGTACATCAGCGCTTGCTCCTCGGGTCCGTCTGGGATCAGCTGGGTTCCCTGGGATTTAAACCGACTCTGCAAAACAAAACGATCATGTTTTTGTTTGTTTTATCCCCTAGGTGCTTCCAATTGTGTAGATTGCTGCTGGCTTCCTCACCTCAAGGTAAAAGCAGGCTGCATAGGATTCATTAACAACAACATTTCCATGTTTGAACGATGGAACCTAGAATAAACAGAAGGATTAGAGCTGTTTGCTTTAGTTTTCACAGAGTTTGAGTGAAGTGAAGCTTCGCCTGTCTAACTTGAAGGGTTATGAGTTGAACATATTTACCTTAAAAGTTTCTTTATTTGTTTTTTATTCAAAAAGCATTTTTAAATTGTGGGCAGTTTTTGTTTCATCACTGCTCTGAGTACGTTCCTTCAGCAAATGGCTTTTTACGCCAGGTAACGATTAATTGACCCCTGAATTAGTTGACAATCATTTCAACAATCGACTAATCACAATTAATTCGATTAATCGTTTCAGCCCAAGCCTGGACTTTGACCGCAGCATTGCTTTTTCTTTTTTTCAAGCCATTCTTATTTTGTCGCAATTATAAGCACAGTGCCATTGCATAAAGCAAGTTGAAGAAATAAAAGCTTACAATGACTTGAAACAAAACATTTTTTCGCGAAAGGTGTGTTTTTGAGAAAGTATTCAAACTTTATTTCTTCACCTCTCACACCAGTAGTTTCTGTTTGTGTTTGTTCCAGCCAGTAAAAAAAGGTGATTATTAACAGAAAGCTTCATGCAAACTTCTAAAGCAACAGAAGAAAGAAAAAAAAAAAAGATTCTGTACATTTTCTAATTTCTGCAAACACACAATGGCATCAATTGAAAAGTTAATCGGTTCTCCTGTAAAGGTTTTTTGACAAGTTCTTTTGGAAACTTGACCAAAAGCCTTTCCTTTTGAATATTACTGTACAGAATTAAAACCAGGTCCAAGTTGAGGATCCACTGCTGTTCACTGGTGAACTGTGTGTGTGTGTGTGTGTGTGTGTGTTGTGTGTGTGTGTGTGTGTGTGTGTGTGTGTGTGTGTGTGTGTGTGTGTGTGTGTGTGTGTGTGTGACTGGGCTGCAGAGGCCTTCATTCAGGGTCAGGAACCAATCACACTCTGACATGCAGCCAGGCTGAAGGGAGGCGTTTAAACGCTGCAGTAAATTTAATGGGTGTAACTTTTTATTACTATGATCACTAACAGCACTTCAATGCAATAGAGGCAGTGTGATCAGTCTGTTTCAGTGCGGAAACCTCAGCCTACCTGCCCCCTGGGATTAATGTCGAGCACTTGTTGGGACTTGTGCTCCATTTTGTCGAAGGACAGCAACACGCTGTTGTAGCCCTGCAGCTTCTTCTCCTCCAGGGCGATCATGACCCTCCAGCAGGGGGGCGAGCCGGAGCCCCACAGCAGAGTCATGTCCTGGGCCATGATTATCAGATTCAGCAGCTCCGACGTCGACGAGCTCAGCGACAGTCAGTCTAGGAACAAAACACAGTCGCTGGAATTCCTCCTTCTTCGATTTATGCGCCCATGGGAAAAACAAATAATGACGAGTCTCTGTTGCCACCCAGCGGCAGGGAGAGGTAACTGCATCTCCAGAGGTCAGTGCTGCGTTCAAGGCGTGATGGAAGTGGGAGCAGCGGCATGAGGCCGTGTTCATTGAATTCAAGGACAAACGGCAGCAGCTTCACAACGTTTAACCCCTGGCCTACGTTCTTGCACTAGACTCTGTTATTAGTCTTATTCTACACTGAGATACAGAATTCAATGAGGCGCCACATTACAGACAAAATCATTTCTTTATTGAGGAATAGCCAAGTCATACAAAACATGTCAATTCAGTTATTAATAAATGAACTGTGATTAGTTTTGATCATCTGATTTCAGCTTTCAGGGCGCACTCACACTGCATTTTACACAAATTGAGAAAACAGGGGTGATCGACCCACGTTAGCAAATTATACTAATTATATTTTTTTCTTAAATGTGTAAAAGTAATTTTCAGATGTCTTCAGATGTCCTTCAGGCTTTCAGATCTTTGTTCGATTTGGAACCACTTTGGGGGCCAAGTGGCTTTGATGCTGGGTCTGTCCTTCAGGAGGCTGTAGTATTTGGCCAGTTTGGGGTATCGTTCTAGAGACAACCTAAAGAAAAACAAACAAAAAAAACCCCTCAAAGTCATGATGGTGATGACAAAGGTCTGTCTTCCAGCAAATACCGAGCTTAGTTATGTACCCATAATTGAAGGCGGCAGCAACGCTTGGAAAGACGACAACATCGGCCAAGGAGAATCCTCCCGCTAGGTAGCGGCCTGCAGCCACCTTAATTCACAGAACAAACAAAAATGTCAGCGAGTAACTAGTGACTTTCTCCATGTCTTTCTGTGTGCGGTGTTCAAACCTACGTTCTCCAGGTAGCTCTCCCAGAGTTGAAGCTCGGTGACCAGATTGTCCTTGTTTCTCTTCAGAGCAGAGTCATGGCGCTCTCCTTCGGGGACGTAGAAGTCGTAGAAGGCAACCGACTCTGAAACAACCAGTGTTGATGCTATTATATCTGTCCTTAGCATTCTTCAAGCCAGCATGGCAGCAGCTGTGCACATGTATAAATGGAACTAACTTAGTTTCTCATTTAGAGTGAGACCCTCCATCATACGCTGGTACATCAGAGCTTGCTCTGCGGGGCTGTCGGGGATCAGCTTGTTGCCCTGAGACTTGAACTGATTCTTTTACCGCAGGAGACAAAAACAAACACAATCATAAGAACTTTATTTTCTAACAATGCATGTAGGATGTTCACTATGAACTATGCTTTACCTCCAGGTACAAACACGCTCCAACAGACTCATTGATTATGATGTCTCCATGTTTGAAGGCAGGAAGCTGGTAGGAAGATGTTAACATAATGATGTTAGCTTGTGGAGTTCATCTTGTGGTACTGCTACTTGATTAAATGCAGAAGATCATCATCAGACTTGTAATTAAATGTGTGTGTCCTCTAGTAATAATCCACATTGCACCAATTGAAAAATTACGGAAACAAAATTCTGAGTTGTGTCAGGTAAAATTCTGAAAAAATAATAATAATAATAATTCAAGCAGCATTGAGGTGTGCACCCACCTGTCCTCTGGGGTTGATTTCCAAAACCTCTTTAGATTTATGCTCCTCTTTCTCAAAAGACAGCAGTTTTTGTTTGTACCCCTGCAGTTTCTTCTCCTCCAGGGTGATCATGAAGCGCCAGCAGGGCGAGGACCCGGACGCCCACAGCAGATACATTGACTCCGCCATAGCTGCACACAAACCTCACTGCTCTATCTGGGAAACGTGGTCAAGAGCGGGCAAGCAACTCCCACTCTCCCTATTTATCAAAAACCTGGTGTTCAGGGCCACGCCCTTAAGTTAACGCCTCCCTCAGAGAACAAAAAAGTAGGTGAACAGTCATTTGCTTTTTTTTGTTTTGCAGAAAGTGATCAACACGTCATTACACGTGAAAGTGTCTGTTGGCTCTAGTTCTTGTCCAAACACTTCCTCACTCCATCATTTAAAAAAGACAAAGACTTCTGGGACGGACAGGTTGTCTCTGCAACCGCAGCCCTCAGAAACTCCACCTTTTTCTCAGACCATAATACAAGTTTCTACAAAAAAAAAAAAAATTACAGCAGCTCACTAATCACGCGCACAACCGTCGACCTGCAGGAAGTTTTACCTGATGAGATCATTTACACATCTGATGCAGGCTGCTCTGCGCGTCCGCCACAAGTTTCATCGTTGCAGAGTTTTTACACTTCACAAAAGATTTCCTCTGAAATCAAACGCTCTGCTAAACAGTTTGGGATGTAATTTGGGCCAAGTGTGCTGCCGCACAAACTGTGTCATAGTTCTCAGAGCATAATTTATCAACTATTTACAAGCAGTTTAGCTGTTCTGTTGATCTAATGACTAATGATTGATTATCTGATTATTTTAGGGTTGGCATTCAGATTAAATTTTTTTCATCTCTAGTTGAACAATCACAAGCTGTTGTCGGTTCTGCTTTAGGGTGAGATATTAGTTCAAAGTCAACCCTTGTATTTTGCTTTGTCACCAGACCTACGATTAGCTTGTGGAAGAAAGGTTAAAACTGTAGACGTCAGCCACAACCCCTCACACCATCAATGTCAGCGATACTGTCCCATCTGTAAGATGTTTAAAGGACAAGGACGAAGGACAAGCCACAAAAGGAGTATCAAGCTTCTGGATAGCAAAGTATTTCTCTGTAGGAATTTACAGAGAGTTGAGACTTAGCAGATAACAGGAAGGCTGGATGCGAGAATGCCAAACCTGCTCTTTCTCTCATGGCGTTTAAGTGTCCACTTTTGTTGGACTCTACCAACAGCAGGAGTCTTTTACAAATATTACTCATGCTAGTGACAAACATGTGTTGAGAATATTTAACTGTTTTTGTTCTATCTCTTTTAGCTAGTTGCCAAACTAAAGCTAAAGAAAATCACATGTTAGGAAATGACTTCAAATCTAAGGTTAGAGGGTATGACACACTAGGGAACGGCCTCTCTAGGGCGTAGCTTAGACAGGAAGTTACCAACTTCCTGTCTAAGGAAGTTGGTAGTTGTCCTGAACTACCAACATTGAAGTGCTGTTAGTGATCATAGTAATAAAAAGTAATAAAAAGTTACACCCATTAAATTTACTGCAGCGTTTAAACGCCTCCCTTCAGCCTGGCTGCATGTCAGAGTGTGATTGGTTCCTGACCCTGAATGAAGGCCTCTGCAGCCCAGTCACACACACACACACACACACACACACACACACACACACACACACACACACACACACACACACACCCACACACACACACACACACCACACACACACACACACACACACACGCACACGCACACACACACCCCCCCCCACACACACACACACGCACACACACACACACACACACACACACACACCCCCACACACACACACACACACACACACACACACATACACACACACACACACACACACACACACAGTTCACCCAGTGAACAGCAGTGGATCCTCAACTTGGACCTGGTTTTAATTCTGTACAGTAATATTCATAAGGAAAGGCTTTTGGTCAAGTTTCCAAAAGAACTTGTCAAAAAACCTTTACAGGAGAACCGATTAACTTTTCAATTGATGCCATTGTGTGTTTGCAGAAAAACAAAGGAAGTTACCAACTATTGCTTGTTGCCATGTTGTCCTGTTGCCTCCTAAAGGTTGCATGAGAAATGGACCAGCTGTATTTTTGTATTGATAAATGGAGTCACTGACTCTTCTTCAACATCATACATCAAGATCTAAGCAAGAAGAATATGTCATTCTCCACACATGCTAATGGCTAATGTACGATGCATAGGGCAGCTAAACATGTGACATCCATCATAATATTGTTTTGGTTGTAAAATATTTGTGAGATCATCTAATCACTGATTCTAAAGGCATCCTTAAAATGTGAATTCTGTTATTTTCTTATATTTTCTACAGTAAAACAGACTTTATATTGACTTCCACTCATTTTAGTAACTATGTTTATGCCTAAACCTGACGCCACCTTACTAGTTGTCTATTCTTAGCCCTTACCTTCACCAAAACTCAATTCACGCCACACCTGCAAAAAGAACCCGAAGCCACTTTCCACAGGTTACAGGTTTCTCACGGTTTTGACTTATATGTCACACTAAATCTTCACAGTTCATCAAACATATTTTAATACCAGAAAATAATAAGCCAAGCTGACAAAACAAGCAGTTTTGAAGAGACTTTATTGAGTGACAAAGCATACTTAGTTATTAGTGAATGAACTGTGATTATTCTGATTTTTTTGATCGTCTGAGTTCAAAACCCAAACGGCACATCTGACCTGATACATTATCCACAAGTAGAGAAAACGTGTGACGACTGAATGAACAAGGTATAGTAATCATGCTGCATTAAGTTCGTAATTTCAAAAAAAGCAGTACGTTGAGAAAAGATGAAGACAGTGTTTTCGTTGTTCAGATGTCCTTCAGGCTTTCAGCTCTTTGTTCGATTTGAAACCACTTTGGGGGCCAAGCGGCTTTGATGCTGGGTCTGTCCTTCAGGAGGCTGTAGTATTTGGCCAGTTTGGGGTAACGTCCTGCAGACAGCCTAAAAAAGACCAAGAGCCAGTCTCAACGCTGATGAGAAAGATCTGTCTTTCATCAAACATCGAATGTAATTACATACCCATAACGGAAGGCGTAAGCAACGCTTGGAAAGACGACAACATCGGCCAAGGAGAATCCTCCCGCTAGGTAGCGGCCTGCAGCCACCTTAATTCACAGAACACACAAAAACGTCAGCGAGTAACTAGTGACTTTCTCCATGTCTTTCTGTGTGCGGTGCTCAAACCTACGTTCTCCAGGTAGCTCTCCCAGAGCTGAAGCTCGGTGACCAGATTGTCCTTGTTTCTCTTCAGAGCAGAGTCATGGCGCTCTCCTTCGGGGACGTAGAAGTCGTAGAAGGCAACCAAGTCTGAAACAACCAGTGTTGATGCTATTATTTCTGTCCTTAGCATTCTTCAAGCCAGCATGGTAGCAGCTGTGCACATGTATGAATGGAACTAACCTAGTTTCTCATTTAGAGTGAGACCCTCCATCATACGTTGGTACATCAGAGCTTGCTCTGCGGGGCTGTCGGGGATCAGCTTGTTGCCCTGAGACTTGAACTGATTCTTTTACCGCAGGAGACAAAAACAAACACAATCATAAGAACTTTATTTTCTAACAATGCATGTAGGATGTTCACTATGAACTATGCTTTACCTCCAGGTACAAACACGCTCCAACAGACTGATTGATTATGATGTCTCCATGTTTGAAGGCAGGAAGCTGGTAGGAAGATGTTGACAACGCAATAATGTCAGCTTGGAAAGTTGATTAAACGGATACATTTAGAACCACTTTGCTAAGCGCTGGGCTAAAGGACTTGGGATGTAAAATGATACAAGTGTCTCCAGTGGGACTGGGACTGCTCTGAGCAGAACTATATGGAACCCAATTAAACCATGACCCAGTTAATTGAACTGGACAATTTTATGTTATAGGTATTTTTCCAAATACCTATAACAAGCAAATACCTATAACAAGCAAATACCTATAACAAGCAAATACCTATAACAAGCAAATACCTATAATAAGCTTGCTTTAGTGTTTATTCAAACACTAAAGCAACATGTTAAGTTGAAGAAGATTTAATTGCAGACGAATGAAAATACCCGTTGTAGTGCAGGAGATATCTCTATGTCAAACAGGTCAGCCATATTGGAATTTGTGGTGAAACCTTCGTATTAAAAGGGCCTTATGGTTTATTTGTTAGTCTTTAAACGTGGGGCAGCCTCACTTAAAATATACCAGGGAGAAATGTAGTAATATTTCTTCCTTAAAGACAGAAATAAACTGAACACCTGTGGTGTAGAGCTGTTCCTGTAATTTTAGCATCTAGTTAGAAGAAACTCATAATACACCAAAAATACAGAACATTTGGAAACTCAACTTTCCATTTATGTACTTATTCACCAAAGGAGCTTTTGTACCCATTTGTGAAAATGACTGAATTGTCCAAATTGGCATTTTTTAAAAATTAGTTTAAGCAAAAGATTGCTATTGGGTTGTATTGGTTTGTTTCTGGAGAATTTTGCTTCTCATTAGCAGAAAATGAACAAAAACACATCACACATTTTCATTTGTAACTCCATTCTAAATTATTATTGAGAGCCACGTCACTGTAGGAACAGTGTGAAGAACAACCATGTTCGGGTCAAAACACAAAGCTTTTTGTGAACTGGAACAATCGCAACAAGCTGCAGTCGGTTCTGTTTTAGAATGAGACGTAAGTTCAGAGTCATGATCTTGCGTTCTGCTTTGTCATTGCACCTGCAATTAGGTACCAGAGGAGAGGTCACAACTGTAGACTTTGACCACGCCCGTCCTGGCAGAAATTTAGTTTGAAATCTTAAAATTTAATTTGAAGATTTAGAACATTTGGAAAAGCACCAGCTTTTCCAAATGTTCTAAATGCTACTTGAAAAACTTTTTCAAGCAGCATTGAGGTGTGCACCCACCTGTCCTCTGGGGTTGATTTCCAAAACCTCTTTAGATTTATGCTCCTCTTTCTCAAAAGACAGCAGTTTTTGTTTGTACCCCTGCAGTTTCTTCTCCTCCAGGGTGATCATGAGGCGCCAGCAGGGTGAGGACCCGGACCCCCACAGCAGATACATCGACTTCGCCATGGCTCAACACAGACCTCAGTGCTCCTGTCAGGGAAGCGTGGTCAAGAGCGGCCGAGCAACTCCCACTCTCCAGTGTATCAAAAAGGCGGGCGTTCAAAGGCCCACATATTAGTTAATGTCTAACTCGGAGGCGAAAGAAGGGAACAGAAAGAGGAGGTGAACATTCATTTGCTTTTTTATTGCAGAATGTGTTTAACACGGCATTTCAAGTGAAAAGAGTCCAAACTGCGCTCCGCGTCCTGCGTTCAGGTTCAGACCCGAGTACAATGCAAAGCACAGAAATCAAGACGGAAAGCTCCAACACTTCCTCACTCCAACATTTACAAAAAAAAAAAAAAAAGACAAAGACTTCTGGGACGGACGCATTTTGTCATGGGCTTTCTTTACAATTACAATCCACAGAAACTCCCATTTTTCTCACAGACTATAATACAAGTTTCTACAAACTGTCTACGAACTGCAGGAAGTTTCACCTGATGAGGGCATTTACACATTTAAAGCAGAGTGCCCTGCGTGTCCGCTACAAGGTTCATCATTATTTTTTTTGTTTGTTTGTTTGTTTTTTCATGAAAGAAGTTCCTCTGAGATTAAAACACTCCTCCGTTTCAGCACAAGAGAGGATTCATGTCAGTTAAGGTGCAAGACGTCAGAGCTTTGCGAAATAAATACTGTCAATGTGACACCTCTGAGCCACCGTAGCTAGGATGGTGCGTGCGAAGGTACAGCATTGTCCCTTTTTTTATGTTTTAAAAAGAAAGGCACTCATCAGCCTGAAAACCTGTCATAGTCCTATTTCATATGAACAATACTTTCTCTGTTGTTTTTGTTTTTTTCAGGGAGATCACCTGGATTCTGGTTCAAAACAAACAAAAAAAACTAATTAAAATTCCTACCGACTGCTTTACAGCAAAAAAAAAAAAAAAAAATTCACAGCTTCAATGAATCGGAAAAGATCCCTTTGGATTTCTTTAAAAGAACTTTGGAAAGATCCAAGACGTTGAATTCTTTATAGTACCTGCGTGCGACAAAGAGATTTTTAAGCTAGTCCTCAAGGGAACACGTCTTTCTTCACCTCCGTTTCCTGCTTCTGTGCTTCAAACACAAAACAAGCACTCAACACACACACCGTCCCGGTCGGCAGCGTCTTCACTCAAACACATTAGTAGCAGCTGGTGCAAAACCCGAAGGGGCTGGTGGGCTAAAACTCTAAAGGCTGACATGGGCGTCTCACGCTGGCGACGTTTCCACAGCAGTGGGGACAGGATGGGGTCGGGGGTCAGGGGTCGCGGTGAAAGGGAGGTTCATGTGTCTGGAGAATCGGTCAAGCCCAAAGCGAGAGCTTCTTCTGGTGTAAGGCCGTTTTTGAGAGTCCGCCTCACTGCAAAAAAGACAAAGAGAGGAAAAAAATATATACCATGTCATTGCACCTGCCATTAGCTACTGGAGAAGTCAGAACTGTAGCCTTTGACCCCACCACCTTTATTAAAGCTAACCGTATTTACTATCAGTAAGATATTTGAAGTGAAGTCAGATGAGCCATAAAAGGTTATGACAAGCAAATAGGAAAGTTGTAGAGTAAGACCATCCCTTAGATTTGGTTGTAAGGTTAATATTGTATCTCGTTATGGATTCTTTAGATTTGGTCAAATCTAAGGAAATCTTCAGGCGCTGTCCCGTTTTAAGCTTGTTTTCTCTCTGCTTATTTCCTTCCAGTTCTCCACTAGTCATTTTCTCTGAGCTACAGTTATTTTACCTGTGCCATGTCTGCCCTGCCCCCTTGTGTCAAGATTCACTGATCTCCTTTCTCTCTCTGCTAATTCCAATGTATCTCACTTCCTTCATTACTATATCTGTCATAGATCAGAACAAAATGCATTCAGGAAAGTGAAAGACTTGAAGGCCGAGCCGTGCAGAGACCTTTGGAGGGCAGGGGCTCAAAGTTAAAAAAGGGAACACAGAGGGAGCAGAAACGTTCGGAAATGTCAGAGCAACATTGAAATTCGGTGACGTATTGATGAACCGAGCAGATATTTGGGACTCACACATTTACATTCTCCCCTAAAAATGTACCAAATTACATAGTGTCATTTAAATCAGGAGGAGCGCGACAGATGAAACATGCATGTTGTCGGTTAAAATACCGTGTAACACGCGTCATCAGAACGACAATCACTGGGTTTTTTCCCCTCTCACAAACATTAAATTGGACACAGTCATTACGTATTTTTAGATTGCATCATATGATGTACTGCAATACTAGAAAGTACACATTTTCCATTTATTTAAATACATTGTATTATAAAGTAAGTTGTTAATAATATCTTAATTATTGCTTGTGTCAAAAAACTGACTAAAATTGGTACCCGGACGTCAAAGTTTTACAAAACTTGACCACGACACTTTTGATTGGCACATCTCTGCTGTTCCAGTCTGATTTATAGTCAAAGGTTTTAAGACAGACAGGAAATGAGCGGCGTAGTTTGGGTCGTACGTGATTTGCGGTTGGCTCTGGATCTCCTCCTCTCTCTGGGCTGCGTTCTGGTTCCCGGACCCTGGGTGGCCGAGCGCACAATGCGCTCCATGATCTCGTCCGCAGCGTCGTCCCCACAGGCTTGCGTGTCCTCCACGGCCGATGTCCACGCCTGCACGGTGCGACCTGCACCAAGAGATGGCAAAATAATGAGAGGAATAAATAGAGAGAAAAAACTTGCTGGTAAGTTTTTCCCATCTTATGGAGGATGAACAGATTATTTCAGGCAACTGAATTATCCATTCTCTCCTCTCCTTCCCACATAACGTTGGGGAAGGGTTAGGGTTAGGTTTCTAGTTGCTGTAGTGTACGTAGCAAAACACTGAGCCCCTTTTCTTCAATATATAGCACATTGTTATGATTTAGCACATTATGTTTATGACATGACAGCTAAAAGCTGTGGTATTCATAGGGGTGAGCGGTTTTTCTGGCCGGGATTCTGGGTGTTACAACGTGTCGGACCTCCGCCATTCCCTCACCTCCTCTTCCCGGCCGAGATCTGGTCCTGGTCCTGAGACCCGGCACTCCGACGGCCTCTTTGTCGCTCCCCGTCAGGCTTGTTCTCAGCACAGCCTTCATGTGCTCGTGCTCTGCAGCATCCTCAGTGTGGCCCAAACCCTGGGGCTGGTCGCTGTCCTGCCCACTAGGGGCGCCGTTGTTGCTGCAGCTTGAACCATTGCGACCGCACTGCAGCGAATAGAAGTTCAGAACCAGAGCTCAGAAGTTGGCTGACTGGGAAATGTGTATTTTTCTAAGTTAAATCATGAAGGAGACCAATTCAACTTTAATTCAGATGTTAGGTAAAAGTGATCCAGGAAAAAAGGTTAGGGTATTAATGTCACACAAGCATGCACACAGGCTGGCGCACGTCTCAATACCTCTCGCTCTTCTTCATCATCAGACTACAGGAGGAAGAAGGATTTAAAATCAGAGAGAAGCAGGGAGAAAAGTGAAAATCAGAAATTGAAAGGGAGCAAAAGAAAGAAAAAAAAAAGAGCTGGGAGTGTTTGAGGATGTCCGTTTGCGCGCGCGTGTGTGTGAGGCGCTCACAGGTGCGTTCATGTCCATGATCATCTTGCCCCGGGTTTTGTTGCGCTCCCGGTGGTCGGCACGTTTCTGCTTCTGCTGCAGCACGCGGTCCCTGGTGGTTCTGTACTCCAGAGCGAACTCGCTGAGGATTTTGCTGAAGCGGTTGACGCTGATCTCCCTCACGCTGTAGGCCGGATGGCCCAGGTACAACAGGAAGGAATGGAACCTGAGCAGGGAAAGGCGAGGGGAACCCACGGCAACGGTTTACAACACGAAGAGGAGAAAAGTACAATGAGTGTCCTATTTGAACCAGAGCTGGAGCAATTAATCCCGATTAGTCATGATAAATCAGTTATTGACAGAACTGTTAATTATGTTTTTAATCAATTACTTGTCGAGTGGAGTGCTCAAAAACTGAAAAGAACCCTATACCAAAAATACACACATTTTGCATTTAAGTGGCACACTGATTTAATCAAGAAATGCTATGATGTCGCACATTAGGAATACAATTTTTACTTTCTAATTTGTAAGAGAACGTAATTATTTGTTTGTTTGCATATTTCAGTGAATTTCTAATAAATCTGTAGGATGTGCCATTTTTATCCAAATAGCCGATTAATCCTCAAAAAACAACTATAGATCAACCGATAACTAAACAAACGTTTAGCAGCTGCTCTGATTTAAAGAGACAAACAAATTCTATCACAGTCCTAATTTGTTCAGGATATTTTTTTTTAGCTAAGAATCTGAAAAGTGTGGTCTGCATCTGTATCCAGCTTCTTTTATTGAACAGACAGGACCTTCGTGGGTCCCTGTAAATCCCGCAGCGTAAACCTGCCAGGCGGCGCTACCTGTTGATTAGCCGGCGGTGAACGATCTTGAGGATGATGATTCTTTCAGCACAATCTTTGAGGAAGTCAGACATCTTCTGCTTCAGCTGGGGCTTCATCTCATGCTTGGCGATCACCTTGAGGTGGTCCCACGAAGCCTTGCAGCGACGCTCCATCTGACACAAGTTCTCCTGCAGCTGGTCGAAATCCACCTGATGGACGAGCAGCATTTTCACTTCTACGCCCAGCGAGGACGCCAGACATGACTGAACTCTGGGAACCGACTGGTTGATTTGACTTATTCGCTCAACTCTTAGAATCTGCAATTCGTGTGCTGTGAAACAGTTTTCTAAAGCCTACTTTTGCGGAGCGTGTGATGGCTCCGATCTCGGAGTAGAGGTCGGTGCTCTCTGGGAAGTTTTCCACCACGACGGAGCAGGCGTGGTGCAGCAGCGACTGCTTGTGGACCGTGTCCTTTACTTCTGGGACCTTTTCCAGGTATGTCAGCTCGAAGCCTTTGGCCTGAAAACATTAGTGGGAAAATATCAAATAACTACCTGAAAAACCTAAAAATCCTGGAAGAAATGACATTTTCAGTATTATTTTTTTCAAAGCTAATGGGTCAAATTTAAAGCATACGCGACATACTCTGCGTCACCCGTCATCACGGAAAATAATATATAATGATAAAACCATTTATATAGCTTTTTCGCCCTGTAGTTTGTACTATAAACCACCTATTTCTCATTTAGCTTAACCAATAAATAATAAAAAACACTTTTTCCTCTGGTATCATGAAAGAATTGGACCTCTCTCTGGTAAGTCAATGGGTTGTTTAGCCGTGGTTTTTATCTATGCGTCTTCTGTCAGTACAAAACATGTCTGACAGAAGCACGAATCACATCGATAGCTATTATGCTTACACTTTCCTTTTACGTGTTTACCCAAGCTAATCACTTGCATCAGTGACTTGCTCTTTCTCTCAGTGTCTGAGCCAAATAAATGACGTAACAAATGATGTTGAAGTAGTCTGGGCGCACTTCTTTTTTTTTTTTGGCTACGCTCGCACAGCAAGTCTTGACGTTTAATTTGGATTTTTTTGCTGAGATCCGATTTTTTAAATTTTTTTATGCGGTTGTTTGTAATACCAGTTTAATGCGATCAGACGTCTGTGTGAACAGTTTATGACCCAAGAGCAACCAGAATGCACAGAAGAAGAACATAGACAGGAGCGCACAAAGAAAACGGGTCGATTTTAAAAGTTCTCGAGTGGTAGAAGGTCACAAGGTCACGACAGCAAGAGGGTAGTTGATGAAAAGGAAGTACAAAATGGCCTGTGTGGCACACTGACTGCAACTATCTGTTCGGACATGTGGTGAGTGGTGTGACTGTGATGCGTTGTCCTCGAGTGACTCAAACGTCCTACAGAACATTCAAAAGTATCGATAAAGTCTGCTGGCTTCTTCTGGTGCGTGTGTCAAGTCAACGACAAAATCTGGATAAAATGACCGTTAGGACTGCAAACATAATGACAACTAGCAGATGTCCATCCACTTTAGGACCCACATATGAAAGTGTCATGGATCGGATTTTTTTTCTGGGGTGAAAATGTTCAAATGGAGTCGTTCAGACTGTCGTGAAAAAGTCAGATATAGGATCAATGTGGCCAAAACAACAACCCAAAAAAACCCATTGGATTTGGGTCACCCCACTGTAAGAACAATAGTCCTAGAGAAATGATGACATATGGTGGAAACAGACCAGAAATTACAAACTCCATCTACCAGGGTGCCAGTTTGATAGATCTCCAACCTATTTAAATAAGGAAACATTTCTATCGACTTCCTCCTCCTTATGAACTGACAGAAAATTTACTATCATTATTTTTTGTTGTGTCATGCATTTCTCAGAGCTTTTTCTCATTCATTCTGACTTAAAAAGGGTGAACTTCCAGTTTTAAGTTAAGAAAATGTAAAAAAAAAAAAAGATACGGCGTATGTTCTTTAAAAACATATTTTGTCATCGGACCACTCACGTTGACGCCGTTGAGGAAGTTTCCAATGGACAGCAGCGTAGAGAGGATGCATCTGAGAGTTTTGTTCTTCACCAGCTGCTCCATCCCCTCCTTCAGATCCTGCAGTGGCTCGGCCACTTCCTGCCAGGAGAGCAGCACGTCATTAGCGGGCCCAAACAGAACTCTCGGAAAACATGTGTTTTTACGAGTCTGCGGCTGAACAGGTGCACGTCGCCTCCCGCTACAAACCATCTGCTCTCGCTTAAGGTCATGAGAGGTCGTTCAAAGGTCGCTCCTTCGCCGTAAAATACACTGCAGGCTCGTTACCGGTGACGTGTGGGGCCCCAGGAGCAATTCATTTATTTATTTTTTATCCATAAAATAATCATTTGTACATACATTATCATATACAATATATTATTGTATATTTCGTTGCTTTGTACATGTGACAGTGCAATGACAATAAAGTTGAATTCTATTCTATTCTAAAAACAAATCAGTTCATAGTGAAATTGTATGTTTTTGATATTATAATGACAGAAATTGTTACTAGAAAAAAAATAAAATAAAAATCAGCTCCACTGAGAGGGTCCCTTAGAGGCCCTGGGGCCCTAAGCGGCTGCTTAGTTTGCTTATGCCTTGGGCCAGCCCTGACTCCACATTGCTTGAACCCTGAGTTTTTCTCATCGGCGAGCAACAGCGTCTCCGGCGCATGTTTGTTTTCCCGGCATGAGACGCCGATCATTTCAGCGGCGGCTGCGTCTCATGCGCATCGAGATGAAAGGAGGCGAAAACCTGTAAACTTTACGCGTGTCTCTTTCTCATGGCTCTCCGGCTTTGAACTGCTCCTCGCGGACGCATTCTTTGCCGGAGTAATCACCGCGCGCATGACGACGAAGGCAGGGGTGCTGCTAATAAAACGAGCATAAATTGTGATGATGTAACTATTTTGATGTTCCGCAGGATGTTGTTTCTTCCTGCCTGCACAAACAAACGGCACACATGCTGCGCACCTTCCCACAACCCTCTGCAGCTAGAGAAGTTGGCGATTTGTTTCCAATTAAGAAAATAAACAAACACTCGGACCGGATGGCACCTGGTGCAACAGATCCTGACACCCGGCAGTCCTCGCCGTTCCACTTCAGAGGCGCGTAAAGTCAAGTTGAGTTTATTTGAATGGCACATTTCAGCAACGAGGCGGTTCAAAAATGTTGATCAGTGCTCCACTTAGCAATGATCAGGTTGGGTTTCAGCCTTGACTTAAAGGAAATTAGTTTTTTGATTTTTCAGCTTCCTGGAAGTTTGTTCCCGATGAGAGGAGCATAAAAACCGAACCCTACTTCTCCTTGTTTGGTGTAACAACATAAAATCCTTACAAAATACATTGTTTGTGGTCTACTCACAGTCCCTCCTGGGCGCTGCAATCGCATCATGAAATTTTATGCCTTTTTTGGCCTTCTTGGGGTTCCATACTTGAGCAGGAAAGTCAGATTAGGGCGTGTCTCAGAATTTAGCGATCAAGTACAAGATAGATGTGATCAAACACATTATTTGTTTGCAAAGACACATGTTCACGCTCCCTGCAAAGATACAAAGTCTGACCAAATCTTTTTTGGGTTAGTTTGGAGGGCAAGTATCTTTGTGCACCGCACATAAGAAAAGACTAACTTACAAGTTACTTTTAAGCAAGATATAGTCAATAATTCAGTCAATAAATCGGTTTCGATGCGGACTTACGTTGGTGCCACAAAGTAAACGTCACCGAAATGAGCACAACTGAAGTACCTCAAGTTCAAACTAACCTTCTCCGTTGCTTCGTAGTCCATCTTGAAGGCCCACAGCTGGAGTCTGGCGGATAGTTCGCTGATGGAGGACAGCGTGAGGAGGAACTGCTCCGCTGAGCCCAGAGGAACATCTGGATTGGCCAGCTGGGCTTCCTGGATCTTCTGCTTCTCCTCCTCAGTCGGGATCATCGTCAGGAGTTTCTGCGCAACGGGACAGTGACGCATCAGTGGGCGCCTGCATGCATCTTCTTTTTGTGTTTTGGGAAAATCGCCCAAGGTTCTCACCTCTATGCCTTCCTTGTTGAGCGCGTACTCGTCAAAGTTCAAGATGGCCGTCTTGATGGTGCGCGGCGGAGGCAGGACCGTCAGGCCGATGTTGATGGCGTTGCTCCTCTTCGAATCCAAGACGATGATCTCCTGGCGCTTGCCGTCCGCCGCCGTTTTCTGAGGCAAAGGGAAGATGGAGAAAAGGGGGTCAGCCTCTGCGTTTCTGTGTCGACTTTCGCTGTGGTCCACTTTACAGGCCCGTAAGGATTCAACAACTTTTCACTCGACTGCAGCTGTTGGGGCTATATGGATACTGGAAGCAGGAAATGCCACACGTGTTTCGGTTTACGAGAGTGTTGGCATCAATTTATAGGCGCCGCTTCACGCCGCTGCATGACCATATATGACCTTTACCAGAGCAGGAGGTGATTTGAAGCTCTTAAAGGGACGAAGTCATACAATATTACCTTATAAACGTGTAACAGAGTAGCTCCCAAGACCTCATAGCCTCTAGAGGAGAGACACCAGTTCACTTACACTTGCAGCTCTACTTCAGAGTTTTATAGTACAGTGATTAACATGTTGGTAGGAAATCTACTTACACTCATCATGAGCATGAGTGCTTTAACTATATCTTTGATGCATTCTTTTTTCAGGGTGGTATCATGATGCAACTCACTTCAGGTAACCATAAAAACAAGAGCTTGGATCAAAAGTCCGCTTTTATTTTGGATTTTTTTTCTCATCCACATGAGGTCAAAATGGATAAAATACATAGAAGATCAATCTGGTTACATGCTAAAAAAAACTACATGCTTTTTGTGGTCATCAACAAGTTCCTGGTGTGACTCTGGATGGAAGTTTGACCACCCATCCTATTGAAACTGGTCAAATTTGTTCATATATATACTGGTGAATTTTCCTCAACAGATCCAGCTTTCTAGGAACAACCATAAAAAAAAAAAAATCAATATTGAATTGAAGTGATATTGTTTCACTATGCCTTCGCGCTGGTATGATGTTCTTTGGGGTGAAAGCCTGACCTCCACTTTGTGGAAAGGCTGTTCTGTTTTATTTTCCAGAAGGTTTTTGACTCGCTGCTCGTTTCATTTGACCCGGAAGCCACAGGTTGGTCATCAGGTTCGTGACGCGCGCGTGAAACGCCGCTGTGGACAGAGGCAACGGTGACCCAGGAGTTTCCACATCACGGCGACTTAAATCTTCTGGAGATGCTCCTGAGCATCCGAAGCAACTTCACTTCGTCGGAAGTCAGGCTGAACCAGAGGTCAGCGATTTGACGTCCTAAATCGAGCCAATTCAGAGGAACGTCTGGACCTGTAAACTCCAAGTGACCCTTGGAAAAAGAAAGTGGCTCAAGTTTCATGAACACCAACGGCTTCAATAATTTATGTTTTACAGTTTAATTAAAGAGCTAAAGGGTTTATCCAATTCTAGGTTCTGGAACAAAAAGCACTTTAAAATATTTATGAGAAGACCATAAAACTATTTTCTTAAACCGAAAGAAACTCCAACTTCATTGGAAAGAAAGACAGAACAAAAGAAGGACCCAATAATATATGCTTGTATATTTAGTGTTACTTGTATAATAAAATAAAAACACACAAAAAAATAATAGAAGTTGCTCTTTTATGTTTATGTCACAAATCATTTCTTTTTATGGCAGAAAACTAATTTAATTTAAATGAACTCTAACAATTTGTCCATGACAAAAATCTAAATAATTTTGCACATAACTGTTGTCTGTTGGATCTTTTTAATCCCTCAAAAATAACAAATAAATTGAAAAAAAAGTTTAACCACATCATGAAAAGCCTCAAATTAAAATAAAATGGCAATCATGATTATGAAGACAAGTGTATGTAAACTTACGACCTGCAATTTGCTGAATGAGTGGAAATACTGGTATTTTACGGCTCGGCGACGTCTCTTTGATGGTTTGCCTGTCATCCTCGTACACACACTGTGTTTTAGTGCAAGTGAAGTGAAGAGTCATCCAATAGAAGCGCTAACCGCCGCTCACCGCCGTCACGCCTCCTGTCACATCTGAACCACGCAGAGCCGCCAACTGATCGGGCTTCGGCGTAAATTGCAGGTTCTGGAGCGAAGGCTCGGCAGTTCAAAGAGTGAGAGTCCCAGACTCTGCTCTCTACCTTTGAACGCCACTCGGCTCCTGTTTATGAAAATTACAAAGGGATCAAACCTCCCCTGTTTGATCGGGATCAAAAACGCACAACTTCACTTAACCCCAGAAGGTGAATCATTCGGGAAATCAGAGGGAGAATTTAGAAAATATCCTTGCTTGCTGGAATTTGGATAAAAATAAATATCGAAACAATAAACTCAAAATAAATCAATAATAAAAAATTTTTTGGGAAATTTAAAAACAAAAATATTGTGAATGGACAAATGAGCATCATTCCTCTTAAACAGTGAGAGCTAAAGTTGGGTTGTGGTTGTGGTTCTTTCAAAATTTTCAAAAGCTATTCTGCATTTCTTGTGTTTTTCTCTGCTTCACCGTCACTGAATTCACTGCTTTCTCGTCACTGAGAAAGCAACAGGATTCTGCAGACTTGGTTGACAGCATACTGTGGGAATTTTGTGTGTATAAGGTCAAACCCTAAACATCGAGGACCGATAGCATTGGCGTACATGGTGCTTCCCCTGGTCTCTACTTTGAAACAGGAAGTCAGACTTTAGCTGACAACACAGAGGGAGGGGACATTCAAAACCTCCAACATCCCCAACTCAAGATTTTGTCTCTTTACCTTTGTCACTGGTATTTCCTTCGATTTGGTCTCAAACAGGTGTTCCAGTTTGGACGTATCCAACTTTACAGGTTCCACTTTGGACCAGAAGGAGTCTCCACTCCACTTGTGGTCCTGGTACTGACAGTCTGTTGGACGCACCTGAGGACAAACGGTCAACAGATTGACTCAGACTGCTTTCAAAAAAGGAAGTGTATACAGAGTCGCGTTTGCTGCTCACTCAGGTCTGTATATTTTAGGTTTTTGTGGCACTAGTGGCCTGCATTTCCACAATTCAGACAGGAAATCGGTCTCAGCAGGTTAGGACTGTTCCTGACTCACCTCGCTCCAGAACAGCCTAATTGTCTTCTTCTTCTTGTTGAAGAGAGGTGGCTCGGAGGGAGGGGGCGCCGTGGCTGGACCGCTAGAGGACGGAGGCGGCGGAGGCCTCAAGACGCCGATCAAGGGAGGTGGCGGAGGGCAGCAGCCTAGAATGGGGGGCGGCGGAGGAAGCCGCGGGATGAACGGCGGAGGAGGCGGCGGAGGCGGGAGGTCGCCACACCCTCCCATCAGAACGGCGTCCAGGATGTCCTTGTCGTCGTCGTCCGTCAGGTCGGTGAAGCTGATGTCCCTGATGCGCAGCTCTCGAGGGCTGGCCAGGAGCTGGTCCCAGATGGTGTCCGACTCCTTTTTGGGAGGGGGAGGGGGCGGCGGCGGCTCGTTGGCTGGGGCGTCCGGGTGGAGGTGGGACGAGCCAAGGTCTTTGACCAGGTCGCCGAAGCGCTCGGCGATCGGACGGATACTCCGTCGATGCTCCGACTTGTCCTCCTTGTTGCTGCTCTCCGGGCTCGTCTCCTGATGGGTCTCCCTGTCCTCTTCCTCCCCCTCCCCCTTCTCCTTCGCCTTCTCTTCCTCTTCCTCCTCGGCGCTGGGCTTTGAGCTCTGGGAGTACAGCATGTCCAGCATGAAGAGTTTGCTATCGAGGAGCTTGTTGCAATTCTCGTTCACTTCTGCCTCCTTAAAGCCTGGGGGACAAAAAAAAGGGTAAAGTGGTAATCCTAAAGTTATTTTGAAATTCCCGAAAATTAAAGCCACCAAAAAGGGGAATTTTGATGATTCTCCTTCAGAGGCTACCCACCATTCTCCGCGCTGACCCTCTCCTCTCTCTCCAAGGTGCTGCTGGCGGAGGAGATGCTGGAGGCCGAGCAGTTGTCCTTCTCGTTCACCTCCTCATTTTGTCGCTCCTTGTCACTAAGGATGCCGCTGTCCTCCTCCGCCTCCTCCTCTCTCTGCTGCTCCGCTTCCTGCTCGGGCTCCTTCCCGTCCTCCTCCTGGTCCGCCGCCGCTTCCTCCTGCACTTCCTCGTCCTCCACTTCCTTCTGCTCTTCCACTTCCCCTGCTTCCGCCGCCGCCTGTTTCTCTTCCGCTTCTACGCTGCCACTGGAGTCGTCGGCCTCTTCTGTCACGAGAGAGCGCGGCGTTTCAGTCGCACTGGAATTTGCCTCGAATGAGAGTTTTAAAGACCAGAACTATTTGTAACAAAGTGGCACAACATTGGCCTGGATGGAACTGAACCGTTTTCCGGCAAGAAAAATAAAAACGCGCCGCCGTGGCGTAATGTAAACGATACAGGCGGCGCACAAAGCCGGGCTGTTGGAGGAGCTCGATATGAGCAGGAAATGAGGAATTAAGTTCCTGTTTACGTCGGATCCCGCCCGTGCTCACGGTACACACACGTAAATCAGCAGCACAGTCAGCGCAGTGATGCAGGCTGGGTCTAGAAAAACACGGCGCAGACGCTCGTGCCCCAAAACAAGGCTGGTTTTTGTTGTTGTTTTTTTTTTTTTTTTTTTTACTTCTTGCGCGAGATGTTTGGGGATCACTCTGTCAAAAGCGTCTTTCAAAAACCAGTTTGACCCTTGCCCTCAGATCCTCCCTGTCACTGCGAACCTCCACAATCTGCCCTGTTTTTTTCTCTTCCACTGCATTCAGTCTTATGCCAGTTGAAACGGCGAAAGCGAGGCAGTTTTTCGTTTTACTGCTGAGGGGCAAAACAGATGCTCGGGGAGTTGAGCAGATGACCTTCTGGTTTTTGTTCAGACTCGAGGACCTGCTAACACTCGCAGAGATACACACTGCCGAGTCACAACGAGCCACGACTCGCTAGTTTTAGATGCTAATCAGCCGACGTTGATGTTTGGCATTTATCTTTTCTTTTTTTTTATTTTTTTTTTACATGTGGGGCCTAAGGATATAATAAATGACCTAAACGGATTAGCTCCACTAGCATGCTAACTGCGTATTTAGCCTGAATGGAAGGCAACGATCATTAAATGAATGAGTAAAACGTGCAGGCGGAGATCAGACACTCATTATTGTTTTAATTTGGATTTTTTTTGTCTTAAAAGTGTTTTCATTTTTGTGAGGTGTCATCATTGTCCTCAAAGCACCTTCTAAAAAATATATATATAATTATTGTCATTATAAATACTAATACTGATGTTGCCGTGGTTGAAGGCTTCCGGGTATTTATACTCATTTACATGTATTCATGTGAGGTGACAGAGCGGACCAGCAGCTGTCATCTATTTCCCGGAAATCAGGATTTATAAAGGAAAGGTGCGCGCGCACTTTTCGAAATTTTCCCGCAAGCCAAGGTTTAGTGTGAAAACTCTTTCATGCACGAGGCCCCTGGTGGTTCTGTCAAAACACAAGTTCTCCTACCAGCCTCAGAGGGGGTGCAGGCGGTGCCCGGCGTCTCGGGTTCAAGGTCGGCTTCTCCTTCCTCCTGGGAGGCAAAAGACGATGGCGTGCTGCTGCGCGACGACGAGGGCCAGGCCTCCGAGGGCTCAAAGGGCAGGCTGAGGTCAGGCCGAGTCCTGGACGCCCGGACGCGGTCCCTCTCGTACTCCTCCGCCGCCAGACGCTCTACGTTCTTATACCTGAAGGAGAGCGAAAGATGAGTCGCCGATGTTGGCTAAAAATCTGGACCAACGACGGCGTATCGATTATAAGCGATGCAACGGAGAGTCAGTGGATCTCAAGTCTCCTCTGCTGCTGTCAATGCCACTTGAACACGACGTTGCAACTAACTCCTCTGCCTCTGCCTGCTAATCTTTCAGCATCAAACCTGCCACCCGTAAAGATTTGGAAGAAAAGGAGAGAGAGTAGAGAACAACAAAAAATAAATGGTTGAAGAAAGGCCAGACCTGTTGCAGATCCCTTCCTGACGTCTTTTTCTCCGACCACTAAACTTCCCCGTTCAACCTGCTGGCCCTCTCGGAAATTCAGGGCACTGAGTCAGTCCTCCCTCCCTCTCTGTCTGTCTCTCTCTCTGTGTTTTCTTCTTTCTCTGACCCCTCCTCTTTCCCACCGCGCTGTGAATGTGTGCAGCTTCTGTTCGGGCTTCATTAGCATCAGGACACTTCAGATGTCTGAAGAAACCAGACACGAACACCATGGTGTGTGTTGGGTCCCCTATCTGCATGTGATTAGGCGTGAACCGAAGTTAGTGTGAGCCAAGTGTGTATAGTTGGCTTCAACGTAGTTTATGTATACACATACACACACAAACACGCGAGAGCACGCACACACACACACACACACACAAGCGCTGCATGGGAGTTTGCGAAGCACACCTCTCCTGCTTGAGACCTGATTGTGAGTTAATCCCTCTTTGAGAACAGAGAATTTCTGCAGAACTGCGTCTTGACCAATTAAAGCAGACACTGTTGTATGACCTGCTCATGTTTGCTCAGGATGCACCAAAACGACCACAGAAGCAACAAAAATCATCATCACAAATAAGACGACTTGATCTATAATTTACTTAAAGCTGCATTCCAGCATAAAAAAGAAGAAAAACATTTAGATTTTCCACATAAACCCTTGTTTTAATCTGTTTGTTCCACATAAACCCTCAAACATGTAACAGCTGAAAGCGAAGAGGACGGCGAACTGTCTTCAGGCCGATTGAAAAAAGATGAAAAGAGCTACTTAGTCATCTGTAAACCTTTCTTTCCACACAGATTTATGTGAAATATATAATCAATGCTATCTGGCAGAGTTGTTCAGTTGAGAAAACGGCTAGCATGCTTTGAGACTGGACAGTCGGCCAGAAGCTAGAGGAGAAAACGTGAGATGGCAGAATCATAAGGATGGGCGTCAGACGGACAGTGAGTTTCAGACTCTTTGTTCCTCTGTCTGCTTCTCTTTCACTTCTCAATGCTTTCCAGACAAACTCTGCATTTATGAATGGCGAGCTTTTAGCTGCTAGCGCTCGTTTGTGTCAGAGCCGCACAACTGTGTGTGTGTGTGTGTTGCAGAAAACCAAACACCAAGTGACGGGTTGAGAAGTCATCACTCCACTGTGAATAAACCCCCCCGACCCGCAACACGTGACCCCGGCTGGGTGTGACCCCCCCGGCGCAGGGCGCTCTCTGTGCGCCGGATGATCCTGGGAACAAGCCGCAGAGGGGAGAGTTGAAGAGGATTTGCATATTCACTAATCCCACAAAAGGCAGCGAGCCTGTCGTCTAATCCGTTACTTTATCTAAAACTCCGAGACGCCGTTTCTTTTTAGACACATTCCCTGCATTAAATGCAAACCTTGTAAATGTTTAATCTATGATTAAAAAATGTTTCACTATCGTGTCTTATGGGACTATGCATAATATGTGATTACTATGAAGCTTCTGGGATGCATGGAATAGAATTACATTGGATTTAAGGGTTTTACAGGTCTGCAAAAACCAGAACACAAAAATTTCAGGAAATTATTTTCAGTTTTATTGTTCACATTCTGTCCACACTCACACCTCTTTTGATCCTTTCGTCTTGTTTTAGTCTTTTCACTTTTCTTTCCTTCAGTCCCTCTTGCTGCCTTCCTTTTCTTTTTCCTCGTCTTTTCATTCGTCCCGTCTTCATTCTTCATTTCTTTCCTTTCTGTTTCATTTCTTTGCTATTATTCTTAATTTCTTTTCTTTTGTTTATTCTTTGTTTCCCTGTGGTCTTGCCTACTAATTTGACTAAATCTTGTTTTCATTTAATTTCTGTGCAACTTTTTGTTCTCTGACATTTTACACGTTCTAAACAAATAAAAGTTTCCAAGATTATGACTGAGAGCATTTAACTATCCTGTTTGTCTGAAGTGATATTAACACTTGTAACATTAGTAGTCTTAGTGTAACTGTTTAAACTTTAATAGGTGTAAATATTTAATGCCTTAAAACTCATTCGCCAGCGTCCGATATGGTTTGTTGCAAAGCGCGGCCCACAGAGAGACCCACAGAGAGACCCGGCTGTCAAACCATCTGTTTTGTTATCTGGAGTTAAAGCTCTAACTCTTCCTTTTGGACCAGATGTTTCTGTGCTGTTTGTCAAGTAAATGGTCACCACCGGGACTTTAGGTGGGGAGGACACAAAAATGTGCGCTAGCCCGATGAGCACGACACCCAGATGCGTCGTAAATACAACACACCACGTTGACATGGGTCATCTTCTGAGAACCTGGGCTCTCGGTTAAAACGGGGAGCAACAGAGCGGCTCCGGGTGCAGCGTTCAAACAGCTGGCTCGCAAATAAAAAGGGCCACAACGAGAATGACTGGTGAGTCCCTGGCCTCCCGTGATTCCCATCCGCGCACAAACGCAGATCTGCAGGCCTCGTGAAAATTCTTCCTGCGTGTAAGGAGACGATCGGTGCGAGAATTTACCTCCGAACCGGGTTGTCCCGAGACGCGCAGCGAAAACCATCAGCTCCCGAACGGCGAGGAGGATGGAGAAAACAGGCGAACGCGGGCAAACGCGTCACATGGCACTGTGAAGAAGCGGGAACTTACCGCTCCTCCCGCGCGTGCCGGGCCTCTTCCATCTTATCCACATAGTCGCGGCTGAGACACACAAACAGAAGATGGATAAAGGTAAGCATCGTGCCCAGTCCCACCAGCACGGCAAACAAAAACCACAAAAAGAAGTCGATTCCGATCTGCGACGTGGTAAAACCAGTTTGTTATATTTCTTTTTCTTCTTGAAAACCAAACCTACATTTAATAAATATGAACAATTATACACGTATGCAATGGATAACTTTACTGCGGCATTCAATTATGTTATTATAACAATTGCAAACATTGTGCTTGTTCCTCTCCTCCCGCTCTTCCTCACACTTTACGAAGCTCCACGTTCAAACAAAGCAAACGTTGCGCCTCACCTGTGCTTGTTCCTCTCCTCCCGTTCGATCCTCTGCAGCCTCTCCTCCCTCTCCACACGGCGGCGCTCTCGCTCAGCCGCCAGAGACTCCTGGTGCTGTCGGTAGGACGACGACAGCAGTCCCCCTAATGCCACCCTGACAACAAACAGGCGCCGTCATGAGGCCTTCTGTGTGTTTATTACAAACGTGTTCCCTCCACTTTGGTGTGCTTTTTTGTTTTCTCTGTCAGGAAGTGTTGGGGTAAAAGTCGACGCTGGCCCTCTCACCTGGAGGTTGTGGGTGTACTCGGGGTGCTGAACGACGAGACTCCATTCCTAAAGGACACAAGAAAACAGTCAAAGAAAAATGGCAACACTGAAGGAAGCCGGTGTCACCAGACACTGCACAAGACTGGATCCCCGAGCACAAGACCCCGTCTTACATAACACCGCTGACGCAACACTGGGGTGACCCACATTACCCACTGCTGAAGCGTTTGTGTTTGTGAAACAGTTGCTGGCTTTAGATGTAAAACTTTTGCTGCCCAAATGAAAGTGATGACGTAAAGAGAACCGTGTTTGTACCGCTTGAACGTTTCTTCATTTTATCACCTCACAGAGGCATTTTGGTGTGATTTACTTTTGCTTATTTATGTAGTTTTTTTGTCGTTACGGTGACTCATTACTCTGAAAACTCAAAAAAAAAAAAAACAGCCGTTTTGTGAAAACTTTTCCAAGCCGTCCTGATCAGATGGGACGGAAACCCCTTCACCTGTTGCCAGGGCAACATATGGTGGTGGTAGCATCATCGGTGTGCTTGTCATGAGTGGGTTTGAGGAAACTAAAAGTAGCTGAAAAACGTGGTGGGAAACGTTCAAAACGTGAGAAAAAAAATTTCAACGGGCGTGAATACTTTTGTGAGTGGATGTGAATAAAATTATTTTTTATGGCAAAAAAGAATGGAAGCAAATTCAGGCGCATTGTTTCAGAAACAGAGATGAACACAATGAATGTTCTCACTAGCAGAGTCGACTAAGTGACCCGTATTCCTCACAAGCTGCACAGTAGAGGTTGTGTGAAAACCCAAAATACAGGAGAGAACTAAAAGCGAAGCATGGAAACAGAAAGAAGAGATAAAGCATTGCTAAAAGGAAAGAAACTAAGGGGAATGGGTGAGATTTAAAGTCAGAGAGGATAAGAAGGGATCAGTGGATGCTCTACTGTGCTGAAAAACAGGGGAACAGCTTGGAACTGTGAAAGCTCCCGACAAGTGCAGATTACCGACCCAGCAGGAGAGCTAATGAAGACCGAGAACAGCTAAGTGAAGAGAGGAGAGAGGAAAGCAACAGCAGCGATGGACTCCAGGCGTGAAGCGCGTGACGGGAAGGAGGTGAAACGAAAACAAGCCGGTGAGCCAGAAAAGTGGTGCCGAAAGAAATCCAAAGTCGGTGCCAGAAAACACAAAAGGACGAAACAGAGAGTGGATGCACAAAAAAATAAAATGAAGAGACATCTCCTGGTAGCCATGAGAACAAGAAGAAGAAGAAGTTCTGCTCTCCGTCTGACCTGGGAGGTTTGGTTTGGGGCGACTCCTCGCTGCGTTTAGCCTGAGCCGTCGGCGCCGGCTCATCGTCCAGGTCGTACGAGAAGAGGTGGAAGGGCGAGTGGGGCAGGTAGGGGACGCGGTTGGGGGACAGGCGGGAGCTGCCGCGCAGCGGCGGGCTGACTTCCTTGGTGGCGGGGACGGTGACTGTAGAGCGCTTCCTGGCCAGCAGGGTGGCCAGCAGGGAGGGCTGGGACTGGGGGCTGAGACTACCGCCACACTCTGGAGAAAGGGGCGTCGGGGTGGAGGGCGGCGACGTCGACGGCGGGTGAATTTCTGCCTGATTCTTCGGCTCATTGTCCTTTTTGGTTCCCTTTCTGGAGGAGATGGTGATGGACTGAAGGGTGGTCCTGTGGACGGTGGGTGTAGGGCACGCAGCCCTGGGAACAGAGGATTGGATTGAAGGTTTTAGAAAACATACCTGGAGAGAGGCTGTTAACAAAACCACAACAGACTCGGGCAGGGCATCTGCAGGTCTCAACAAGTCAAATTTAAGATCTTTTAATTTCCACTTTGAATGAATTTGAGAGTAAAAAAACTAAACGCAGAGGACGGTCGAGGAATGTGCCGAGCAAGAACTGTGAAATCTCTGGGGTTTTCTTTCACAAATTTAAGACATTTTAAGACTTCTTATGAATGTCACAGGCTCAGACTAACTAAAACGAAACACACGCTCACATTTACTACTGCTTCCCTACACAAAACACCAGGACACATGAAAGCGGTGCTACATTTGACTTCCATGTGGCCACCAAGACCTACAATACCTGGGGGTGGTCTGATTAGCCCCCTCCTTCTCATCCGAGTCAGATTCAGTCACAGGAGTCTCTTCCTCCTCCTCCTCCTCCTCCTCTACGCCACATTCTTCCTCTCTATGGCGGTCGAGGAAGGGAAACGCACACATGAAGGGAAGATTCGGGGGGAAGAGATGAAGCGGTACATGAGACCAGCATGCAAATAGACACCTTCACATAAATAAGGAAGGTTAGACGAGGCCGACATGACGATTAGATATGACCTGAGGGCCTGACGGGCATTTAGTTTGGGAGACAAGCAGGGATGTGACAAGACGGTTAAAGGAGCGAATTGAGAACATGAGGAGGGACCCTAACACTGGCGGATGAGTGTTTCTGATTAGACGCTCGGTGCCTCCAGCAGGTCAAGATGCTCATGGAGACCAGTTGTGAAGGCGGGAACGAAGGAAAGGAAATATTATATTTACGGAAAGTTTCCAGGACGTATAATAACGAGATGCGGGACAAAGTTAAGAACATGAAAGCAAACATATTAGATAAAAACGCGTTGGGATTTCCCTTCTTTTTTTCTAGATGCGTGTTAATCCTCATGTGCAGAGTTGACATGTTAAGAATATCCGGGGCTTGGACCTTAAGCTGCTCTGGTCACATGACCGCGGCGGCGCGAGGACGAAGCAGGACGTTAAGACAAGAGATAACAGATTGGAACGTGTTAAAAACAGATTTCCTAATATGTAGGAAATGATCACAGCACTGCAATATCACTGCACCGGTTTAGCAGAATGAAGGCTTGGATTAGATTTGGAGATAACTCTGAAAACACAGCGGACAGCAGACATCGGGGATGTTTCATCACAGAAGGAAAATCCACACTGTTACTGCGGGATGGGAGGAGGATACACACTGGTTACATCCTGTGCACGAGGGGCAGTCGCTGTGCTTCCCGGGAATGTTTGAACTTACATGGACGGAAGGAAACCTGACAGAGCTCTGAGGCAAAAAGCGGTAAAACTATCACGTTTGGCTTTGAAAGGTCGTCTTCCAGCAAACTCCACAACTCATCTACTGTCCTGTGGACGAGCGCTCTCACCTCTCACTGAGGTCCTCCGCCCTGTGTCCGCTGAACGGCTGGAAGCCGGCTTTCTGTGGGGACGCGGGGCTGCAGGGGGCCTGCCCGGGTCGGCCGAGCGAGGCCCGGCGACTCCGACGCCTCTCCAGGCCTCGATGCTTCTCCGCTCCACCGAGGCTGACGCGCCGGCGGTCGCGGCATCCCGTTGGCGGCGGCTGGCTGTCGTCGTCGCCGTCTTCGTGACGTAGAGTCGTCTGGAAGACAGGGGAGGCGGGAGGTGGAAAAATAAGACAACTGCAAAAATGTAAAGTCTTACCAAGTGTTTTTGGTCTACTTTTCAGTGCACACATCTTTGTATGCTGGAAATAAGACAAAACTAACTTACAAGTATCATTTCAGCACAATATAGGAACTAAAACTTTTCAGTCAATGTTATGATTCACTGGCTTAAACCAAGCCCCCCATTTCTTACAAGTTACTTCTAAGTTAGTTCTGTCTCTAGAAACGAGACCAAAAATACTTGGTAAGATTTGATGTTTCTGCTGAGTGATGAAAGTTTCTTCTCTTGAAGAACCAAGAGAAGCAAGGTCCATCTAAGCAGTATATATATTTATGGCCCGTCTGATCTGTAGCACTTTGCACATTACCAATGCATGGTTCGTTTGTACCTCGTAAATGTTGAGCTGCTCCACCAAGTCCAGGTCGGTGCCTTTCCTTCCCAGGTGTCTCTGGGATACTGTGTCCATGCCTTGTTCCTCCAGACTGTCCACCATGTCGTAGAAGGAGTCCTGGTCAGGCAACGCCGCGAGCGTCTGCAGAAACCACCAAAAACATAAGTCACAACGTACGCGATATGTTATGTAGTCAAAATGTTACAGTGTGTGAGATTCAAGGCCCGGAGAGGCAAATCCCTCTCGGCTCCAGCAGGAAGCTTAACCTTCTAGATGACCATTGTGTGATAAAATATTACTCTCTCAATCGAATCAAAGCAGTTTTTGTCTCTAAACTACCAACCAATCAGTTTGTTTGATTCTGTGATCGCAAAGATTCATGCAAAATCTACAGAATCCCACACTTTCTCATATTAACGCATTATTGTGACTTTACTAGAAGTTCTCAATAGAAATGATCAGACTTTGGGCTTCCACGATGCTAAATCCCACCTGCAGGTGGCGGTATTTGTTGGCGATCAATGTGGAGAACTTAAAGAAAAGTCACTTTTACCATCACGCATGAGCAAAAATACTGCAAAATGTCCTGCAAATATTTCTAAATCAGGGATTTTGACCGCAAAAAAACAATCCCAATCATCAGAGTGAAGAGATTTTTAGTGTCATTTAATATTATCGAATGCAGACACAGCTGTTTACTAATATTTTAGCAGTTTGTCAATAGGTTTTATTGACACGTTCTGGCACATTGACATGGCCCAAGATGAATCATAATAGTTATGGAGGAATCAAAATGCCCCAGAGAAGCTTTTATATAGCCACCTTGTTGACGAGGGTCATGGCGTAGACCAGCAGCTCGGTGTCCACTCCGTCTTTCTCCTGCAAGATCTCCATGGCATTGAACCAAGACTTGCAGCCTGAAATTTGCACGGACAATAAAATATTAACTCTCATCTGCATTCAGGCAAACCAAAAATATACGTATCAATCTGAGGAGGAACACTATGCATGGTTGTACCTCTCTTCGTGTCCACGGAGGCGATGGCCTGTATGAGCAGCGGCGCGTTGGACTCGGAGTACTCCACAAACACCAGCAGCAGCTTCAGAGCCGTTTTCACCACCAGCCGGAACTGAAAGGGGGGGAAACAAGAAACCTCCAAACGTGAAAACACATTTCTGAAAATGGACCGGCATGGTTTCTGGTGGCTCCCAGTCAGCTTGCCTGTTTTTACACTATTTCACGATCACGCCTTACTATTTCCTCCCGTCCCGGTTTTTATTTGATTCCCCAAAATAAACCACTTTTCCCCACTTCACTTGCTGCAGCAGTTTGTTTGTTATTCTAGATGGACTGTGAACACAAATGGTTATATAAATGCTCAAGTTCCATCTATATGTGAATACAATTTTCTTAAGACGGTCATATTCCCATCGAATCTGATTCTAATCCTCATTCAACCTTTATTTGCTTTATTGTACAGAAAAGTAACTCATAACACAACCAAACCAAAATATCTCAGAATTTAACAAGCTGGTAGAAAATTTAAATGATCTTTGGACACAGTGGGAACAAAATGTTTACCTTTAACTTTTCTCACAGTAGTACGACGACGCGGTTTAGGGGGGACCTGGTTGGCTTTACGCTTTGACACATAATGAATGGCGCAGTTTTAAGATGTGGAAGCAAAGAAAAACAGACGTTATTTTGCTCCTTTGTTTGTTTGCCTCCTCTCTAAGCAATCAGAAGCACTTCTGGGAAGATGCACACTTGTTTACACAGCTGGGATTCGGTGATGTAAAAAAACAAAACAAAAAAAAAAACCTCCATAATGCAAAATGCGATTCAGAGAGGAGAGTCGGTTCAGAGGCAAACTGCAGTTAGGGTGGGATGTGATGTTAAGGGTGACAGTTACGGTCAGGAAAGTAACTGTTACGGTAAAACGGATTATTTTTAGAGTTGTTGTTTTTTTTTTTTTTTTTTTTTTTTTATAAGACCCTCCCTGCCCCCCATGTTGCATGCGATTTGTCTTCCCTCAGCAACCGGTGAAGTTCTCCAACGAAAAGGTGCTGCAGAGTCGTACATGCCGCACACGTTATAATATCTGTTTACACGCTTCTCCGCAAGATCAGCTAAAGAAGGGGGGAAAAAAAACAAACCACGTCAGCTGAGAGCGCAGGCCGCGCTCTCGGATGTGTTTGTGTGCGTTTCCTTGGATGGCTGCTAAAAATACAGTTTCCCAAACAATGGGTGGCTGTTCAAAGCTAATGACAGCCTGCAGTCTTTCTCTTTTTTTTCCTCTCTCCTCTTCTTTCTCTTCTTGTGCACAGACGCTTCGCCGTTACCTTTGAGCCAATCAGAGTGTAGAGCCACTGGATGGTCTCCGGGTGGCCGATGACGCCGTTCATCCCGTCCACGTACAGCATGATCTGCCCCAGGGCTGACGAAAGGATCAGGAGAGAGAAACAAGGGTTGAGATTTTTATCCACAACTATGTACTGAGGTCAAAGCAAAAACAAGCGAATTTAATGGTGACGGACGAGAAATCCTAAAGTCTCTCAAAACGGTTTCGACACACCAACACAACGAGAATAAAAGCATCTTGTGACTTTTGATTGTGTCGAAACACGAGTGAGTCTTTTCCTGATTGACCCATCAGAGAAAAAAAAAGACATTTCTTTGTTGCTTCTCAGACTGACACAGTTGTAAACGGCATTATGGAGAAGCACCGCTGTGATGACGTGATGAAGGCGGAAAGAGTAGGAGCTTCTTAAAGAAACAGAAGCCCAAATCCAATGTGTCAAACTGCAAAGTCAAATGTATTTGAAGTTATTTTTGATGTATACAGCATTTTTATAAAAACTGAAGATGAAATAGTGACTTGATTGTGCTATAAAATGGAACTTCATGCCAGGAAAATACATTGTACCGCCCCTTTAAATACAGTGCAGTAGCTGTACATCTGAAAAAATGGAGAGAACAGCTGGTATTTATATATTTACCTTCCTGTTGAGTTTGGAGCAAGAACATTTAATGGCATAAAGCAAATTGTCAGTAACGGCTTTGTTTCTTTTCATTTTGCCAATTAGGATGATCTTTGCTTTAATCCTCCTCAAACATGGCAGCATGTTTGAAATCTGTTTTGGTTCCACATTTACAGAGTCAAAACTGAATGGAATGGACCAAATGCTATGTGATTTAGAGATACAGGAAGGAAGTTCATTTGAGGTGAAATGAATCAAAAGTGTTGCAAGATTTTAACTGTGAGAGTAGAAAAAAACTTGAAGAGACATGGACGGTGTCGCTTTAGCACAAAATGTTTGTCAGTTTTACTCGACAAAACCGTTGCGCAGTAAAAACACATGCACTAGAGCGAAACGGATGCGGCGCTGCAGGGCTTAGACGCACACAGAGGAAGTTCACTCGAGGTGGCAAAGTGAAGGTTCGACCAGATGCACAGTCTCAGAGGTAGAACTGCAGCGTCATTCAGTTGATAAGACACATTTTTGAATCATAAATCCACATCATAAGGTTGTAATAACTTTAAGTGCTAAAAGTTGTGCTATTGAAGGCTGATCTTTTTCTAAAAAAAACCAAAAAAAGATATATATTTTTTTCTCTTGAGAAAAAAATAGCTTGTTTTGTATTTTTCTCATCCTCATCCAAATCTATCAGACTTTGTCTTCATGCTGAGCAGTCAGGCTGGTTCCTGTGTCCTCTTTTAAATTAAGATCTTTTACTTCATGGAAACCTGCACAAATTTCAAAGAGTGGAAGAAACTCAACGGCTTGAGGTGATTAGCTGTGTAAAAAGCTGTAAATATGACATTTGAAACTGTCATATTTAAACAGCTACATTTGATTTATTTGCCTTTTGTGAACAGCAAATACATTTGGAACTGAGTCCATGTGTCTGATTTAAAGATGAAGTATGTGGCTTTTACAACAATATATGTTGTTAAATGTTTGTTCAAACTATTACTATGTCATCAGCATAACATAAGACTTCATAAGGCTCCTCTGCCTTCTCCCAGTGCTCCCAGTACCAATCGCAGAAATACACTACTCCGCCAGAAGCAACCAATCAGAACCTGGCGGAGGACCTTAGTGCTGTCAATCACTCTCACCCCTTCCTGCTTGATCTTGCTGCCTGCCACAAATGCTAAGGCTGGTTAGCATAGCCACGGATGACGAAAGATAAATGGTTTTCCTGGAACGGTAAGTTGTTTTTCCACCTTTAGCGGAAATGGTGAAAAAACACCATTTCACCATGTATAGGAGGCTAAAACCCTCCTACTGTCTCTGATTGGTTGTTTTTGGACTTTTGCAGGCAGTCGTCACACTGGGAGGAGGTGGAAGAGCGCGATATTTTTTTCAGATAACCTATCTCATAGAAACCATCATGTAATGGATTTAATAAATATGGGAAAAAGATATTTTCATAAACGTTACACACTACAGACTGAAGCAAGAGCCACAATAATCTGCAGGGACGCTCCTGGTGGTGTTGGTAAAAAAAAATAAAATTATACTTTAAACTGAAAGTAACAAAAGACACTCCACCCATTTCACCCGATGAATATAACATCCTGTTGCAACAGAGCAAAGCTCAGACATCTTGAGGACAGGAAGGAAACACTGTTCTCTGTCAAACATGGTTTTGGACTCAAATGTGAGATTTGAGGCTCTCTCTGCGCTTCTGGGGAAAAAAATAACATCTCTTGACAGCGGCAACCCTTGTAAAGCTGCTCCCACTTTATCAGTTGATGATTTTCATGTACACCTGATCCTCAGCAAGAAAACCAGCTATGCAGAGGAGTTCTTCATCGATGAGAAGGAATTTTTTGACCCAAGGTATGACTATGACTTCACCAATCTCTCTGACTCGGCTGACTGCATGAGAGGAAATGAGCCATACGAGCGTCCAACCGGCTGGTACCGCATGGCCCTGAAGGTCAGAGGTAAATATCCGGATGGAGACACCTGGCTGGGTCCCGATGGATGGAGGAGTTACTCCGCGCCTGGAGAGTGGCCTGTGTCCTACCATGGAACCGGGTTAGAAGGAGCCAAAGGGATCATCAAGAATTATTACAAAGCTGGACCTAGACAAGTATATGGAAGAGGAATCTACTCAGCGCCTGACCTTTCTGATGCTGAGCACTACTGCAAGAGCTTCAAGTCAAAGTTCACAGGAAAAACCTACGAAGTGATCATGCAAAACCGCATCAATCCAGAGACGAGGAAGATCCATGCAAACTACTGGCTCATCCCTGTTCCAGAGGGAACATCAGAAGAGGAGGAGAAACGCATTGCTAAGAGTTCAATACGTCCGTACGGCATTCTGATCAGGGAAATCTGAGACGAGAACTGTGACTTTAACTAGAGCCAAGAAACATGAATTCTAATTTGTTTCAATATGGACATTTTACCTCTTCTCACATGAGCCAACAAAGAAAAGGTTCGATCAGCTTTACATTATGAGCATTCTGTAAATTCTTCTTTGATTTTATATTCAGTCCTGGCTGATTAAAAAATTTGTGCACTAGTTTAAAGTTACAAAATGCAAGTCAGTTTATGCAGCATCATTACTTAAATCTAACAGTTTTGTTTGTGTTTGGATTTTTCTTACATTGTTCTGAGTAAAAAAAGACAGAAACTTAACCAAGCGACACAAAGTTGCAGTTGTGAAGATATGATGAAGGTAACATTTTTTATTTGATGCCTTTTTGAGTTTACTCCTGTTCTGTGTGAGCTGACAATATTTAAGATGCAGATTTTGATTTTGATTTCATGCACGTGTTTTGTTTCAGGCTTGTAAGATAAAGTAATAATTCGTTCAAGTATTCTTCTGTTGGTTGTTTTATTGCTGCTTGGTGGTTTTTTTTAGTACAAATGAGTCATCAGTAAACGAACACTGGCCACACCGGGGATTTCCACTCAGTATAATCGCTTACTTTCATTTTACCATTGTGAGAGGCAACCAACAGAAGATAAAAAATTATAAATTAATGCTAAATCTAAGAAACTAAAAGGATTATAAATGTGATTTTGACATTGAACTTGAAATGGTGTAAAACATGTAACTGCTATTAAAGACGAACACTGGCCACACCAGGGATTTCCGTTCGCCTACTTTTATTTTACCATTGTGAGAGGTAACGTGTTCAAATATAATTGTCTTAAATAAAATTGCAAAGTGATGGAGAAGAAGTAACCCTTCTTTTTTTTTTGTAAAACTAATGGGAAGGCAGAGATGAGCAATGCCTTATTAGGACATAGATTGTTGAACAACTTAAACGTGTCAGAGACATGGGAGGAACGTTGAGCAACCCTGAGACATTAGCCAAGACATCAGGACAAAATGTCTCTAAGACAGTGATGGATATGAGTTTATCTGTCCAAACAAGTTACCCAATAAAGAACAGCAACAGTGTTAGCCAATGAAAATGCACAGAATGTGGCTATAAACCCTATATAAGGGGAGAGCAAAAGAGGAATCTTTGGTTGGATCCTCCAGGCAGCTTCAAGTCAAGACCGAGATGGGCAAAGAACTCTGCAGCTGAAGAAGAGCCGGGGCCACAGAGCCGAAGACTGTCCTGCGCACGGGGACCAATCCGTCAGCCCCACAACATGTCGCACAAATCGCAACAAATCACACTTCTCTCATTGGCTGGGTTCAGACCCCAAGGACAAAGATAAAGAAGATCAAGGCAAAGATGAAGACAAAGGCAAAGATAAAGACCCAGGTCCTGTGTGACCTCACCATCGATGCAGAGATGACAGCTCATCAGACCAACAGAGATCCCTGCCTTAATCGATCAAACTCATCCTCTTGCTGCAACACCTTCTTCATCATCAAGCCAGTTCTGGGGTTTGAAACACCAAACTTTGTCCGTCTCTCTCAAAAGGTTCCCTTTTTAGTTCTTATCAGCGTTAGGGAAAGAGAGGCTAGATGATTGATTTTACTTATTTGATTATTTCTGCTACTTAATTAAGCTGTACTGACCCTTGCAAAATTGCTTTACTAATAAAATATTTAGCATAAAGAAAATCTAAAAGATGTTGTGGACATTCAATTAATGAGTCACCTCAAAGTTCTTTGAGAGTAGTAAAATAGGTGTGATGTTTGATTCTGGGGAAGAAAAGTAGGTCATGTTTTATAGGTTGCTTTAGCCCAAATTTAAAACAACATCCTTGGGACTCGCCCGAGTCACTAAAACCAACCTGATTCAGTAACAAGTGCAAGTTGTAAAAAAAGAGAAGGCGCGACTGTTAACAGATGTGCTCTGTGGAACTAGTTGGCTGTATGCTGCTCAGTCTGGCTAATTCACAAGGGGAAGAAGGGTGGGACATCTGGATGTACTGTAGGTCGTAGTAGTCAGGCGAATCTTGTCTCGAAACCAGCTTAAACAGAGTTTACTTCAGTTCTGGATAGGGTAAATCCCAGCAGATTTAGGAAACTCAATTTACCCGTTAGATGGAGAGCTGGTAGCACATCTCCCCTCTCAGAAGAGGAAGTAGTGACTGAGAGAGTAGAGAGTGAAGGAAGGGGGGAAGGGTGTCTGTGGCAACGACACGGTGTAGAAATGTTTCTTAAAGAAACAGAAACTTGCGAAGTACCGAGCGCTCACTGATAAAATAGTAGGAGTTGTGTACAGTCAAGGTCTCAGCACTTAAGGCACAAGTTCAAATGCAGCCAGATGTGCCATTTTATTGCCATACTTAAAATATCTACTCATGTTCAGGTAGATCAAATCTGTTTCCAGTTACACCTTCATTTTTGAGGTGTGTACTTCTCTACCTGGCCAATATAACACATCAAAAAAAAATATATATATATATACTTCTCATTGCAGCACTTTTTTCAAATCTAATTAATTTCAGATAAAAATATGACGTGCCAGAACATCCGATCAAATTCTTTCCACCTGACCGTATGCCTGAGCACACTTGTTAAACGACTTAAATGAACGAGCAGGGAGGATCTGGAGACGACTCATCATTTGAATTATGTTGAAGGAGGTTAAAGTCCGCAACAGACGGGACCGTGGGAGTCGAGCCGCTCACTTCTCCTCTACAGTCCACCCCTGGTCAACCTGTTGCATTTTCAAACAGTGATTCAATGAAGCAAGAAAACCGACTTTACACCGACGCAAACAGCAGGTCGCCTACCACTCCCTGTTTACCGCAGCTAAACGTTGAGTTTAGCTGTGCTGTTACCGTTCCTACATCATTTACATTATTGTTTCGGCGTTTCCAGACACGTGCGTCATTTGTGGATGGAGCGGAGAGACGAGTTACCTCTCAATATGTAGTTCTGGTAGTTCTGGTCAGCCTCTGCTCCCACCTTGATGAGACAAGTCAAACCTTCGGCCATCACAAACTCGTGGACAAGGTCTTTGTCATCCTGAAATAACAGAGAGAAAATGAAAAACGAAAAAGAAAAATAACTAAGATACAACGGCCTTGAAACTACAATTGAAAACTCATTAAAAGTTGCAATCTCACATATCACCACATGATGTCGGTAGTGTGCAGAGCAAGGACTGACAACTTTCTAACTTTAAGAAATGCTTCAGTGTTTTCAGTAAAATGTTTAGATTTTTTTTTTTTTTTTTACTTTTGCAAACATTTTAAACAACACATGTTAGCATAGCTGGCTGAACAAGTGAAAAGTATCAGAGGAAGTGTTGCCTTCCTCTGTACTTTATGTAGCCTGAAGAGGCTCCTGTGACTTAGTTTGTTTGGGCCTCAGAATCGTCCTTCTTCAAAGTAGCTAATGAATTCTCTAAACTCTCTCCTCTAAATTATTCACACTCATCTATAAACCGCTGAGGCAGCCAATACGGACAACGCAAACTCAGGAAGATAACAAACTGAGACTTGCTGCATTCGCAGTGTGTTACCTGAAAGATCTGCTTTAAAGAGAACAGAGCCCTTCTCAAGTCCCGTCCACTGGAGTTATAGAGTTTCTCTGCAGAGAGGAACACAAAGCAAAGGGCCTTTATGATACCCAACAAACGCTGGTACACAGCAACATGTTGACATTTATCTCCCCGGACATCTTTCATCTCTCTCCAGTCTTCGCATGTTTTATAGTGAGGAGAGGATCAATAAAACCTGTAGGTGAAATGAGTTTCAGCTGTGTCGAAGTTGCGCAACAGGCAGCGGTTTGACGGAGCGAAGCCGCACTTTTCGGTGAACTGAGGCGAGCGCTTTATCGCACGCTTTTACCGAGTTCTCCATAGGCATGTGGATGAAATGTTTCCTACATAAACACACACACACACACAAGGACACACATGTATGACACAAGGACAATCTGAGGTCTGCTGGAATGTTAATGGGCTGCTGGCTGGAGTTCAGCATTGAAGTATTCGGGTCACGACTCGGAAACTTTTCAGGGCAGATGTCTACAGGCCTTCATACCCTCACAGTGATTTCCAACCTGCTGAGAAGTTCTTCGAGTGAAAGAACAATATGTTGTTTTATGAAGGTTTTTATTTCAATTTTCCTACATCTTTTATTGCATTGACAAGAAACTCGGCACATCGACAGCAGAGCTTTGTAACAACGTCTCATAGGGATGAATCAGAGGGGTCTCTGGCCTCGTCTCTTTGCACAATTTCTCTTACGTTCTCTTCTCCCCAGCTCAGGTTTTCTGTCGGTTCGAAGCATAAACACCAACATGACGTGGAAGAATGTCGATTTTGTGTCTGAGCACAGTTAAGCCTTGCGATAACAAATTTTGCCGGACAATAAATTGTCCCAGAAACTATTGCGATAAACGTTAATATTGCTACTTTGAGACTGTTTAGAACAGATCTACTGATAATGATACAAAGTCGCTGTGAGGACTGGAACTGGAAGATGTTTTAAATATTCAAAATAAAACACAATGACCAAAAAAATTAATAAAAAGGAAACACAAACCACATACAACATAAACAACCTAAAATAACGTGAGTTATGAAGTTTAGAAGAAAAAAAAAATATATATATATATATATATATATATTATATATATATATATATATATATATATATATATATATATTATATATATATATTAATCATCAAAGCAAAAAATATCAAGCTCGTTTTATTTGATCACGTTTTAATAGACATGGTGAAATATGTCTATTCATGTTTCGAAGCGTTTTCCACCATGTGTCCCACAATAAATTAAATTAAAAAATTGCCACACTTTGACATTTCTGCCCTTCTGTATGAACAAGTCTTTACACTTCTGAAGAAGAGCTAGCCCACATGGGTCATGGTGTATTTGTAACCATAGCAAAACAGGAAGTGTGTACCACACGCAGTGCATTAAAGTGAACATGTCTGTTGGTACAGTTTAAGGTTCGGTAGGATGATGATGATGATGTTGAGCGTGGAAGGAAAAGACGGGTTTTGGCATGGCTCCCTGGTACCGGTTTGCTACTCAAGGCAAACCCAACTCAGAATCATTATCATTCCTTCGCTCGGACGAAGAATTACAGGCCTGTCTGTCTCCACCTCCGCAGGACAATTTCTAAGAGATTAGCAACGGCATTCGTGATATGAACCTCAGATAGCCAACATGGTGGTGCTCAAATGATGAAAGCTCATTAAATCATTCACATGATCCATCTTAACTGGGCAGTGGTACAATGCGATGAACATGTTGAGGTCAGCGAGGGCGTCAAGTGAGCTAAACACCCAAATACCCATCAATAAACATACCAAGGATGTTACCCAAATGTATCCAAATGATATAAAAAGACTACAGTAACTCAAAAGTCTACAGATTTCTCTTAAAATACCATCCAATGGGATGTAAAAACTGAAACCTTGACTTCAAGACTGTGATGTGAGATTTGTCCTGTAAAATTCATCATTTGAAAAAAGCAGGAGTAATAGCCTGGTTTTATAAATGTGCACACATTTAAGCTTTTATTTCACCTTTATTGGGCTGGAGTCTCACTGAGCGAACTGTCTGTTCACATTGACTTAAAGTCCGATTCAAACCGGTGGAAAGGAACCCTACGGCCTAATTGTGCTACCGCTGTTCCTCTGCAGAATGAAGCCAGGCATGGAACTATAAAGGAGATAGCAAAAGATCAAGTTCATTTTTTACAGAAACTTAACAAAATTCTGGGTCAAGATTTATGGAAGATTTTGCAACAGTTGGATGTTTTCAATGAAAAGAATCTGATTTAAAGCCCTACTCCTTAATCCTGACAGACGGAGGATCGGGAATGACCCCTGGAAGTCTTCCTGACTAGTTTCCGACTTCTCGTTTCACAACTTTTGGAGAATTGCTGTACATATAACGCTGTAAAATTTCAAAGCATCTTTCCAATGTTGTATATTTCAGAAAACGATGGTTTTACCAAAATACTAATAATTTCTGAACTTTAAGTCGCAACTATTTTCGCAGGCTTGGAAATCACTACAATGAGATTCAGATGTGGATTTTAACCAACGGGTTTTAAAAGGCAGGACGGCCGGTGTACGAAAGCGAAAACAAAAGAGACTGAGGAAGTGTGACTGGGACTGTTCAATTCTGATACTGACTTTGGTGGTTTTGGTGAGAAGATAACTTCTCCTGTGAGGGGATTGTATTTCTTTAAAGTAGTTGTGTCACAGGTATTGATCAGAAAAAGCATTTATGATACATATTTCAATAGAATAAAACAATAAATGTTTCTGTCCAAATGTCTCATGTTACAACATCGACACCTGTGGCTTATAGATGAATGCAGCTGATATACTTACTATTTTTGTTACTTTTTAAGCCTTCCACAATCTTAAGACAGGGTCATTTGAACCCCACAATCTTTTCACCCCGTGTGTGGTCCTACAGGGTCACACCCCATCTGCGCTTTAACAAGTTTTTATTGATGTGTGTAGTTTTGGGAACTGCCTGACCGTGACATCTGCCGCGATCCTCCAGAGCGTCACGCTAGCGTCACGCAAAGAAGGGTTTATATTCAGGTACCCTCACAAGTCCAGCAAATATGAGGAAATCGTACTAAGACGGCTGAACTTCATTTTCGGTTCAACAGATTCTCCAGAACATACAGCAGGTGGGTACACAAGAACTAAAACCTGCAGGATGGTTGCAGCTTTTAGTGTTTTTTATTTCTCTTTCTGTAACAAATGTCTGTGCTGTCATATGTAAGGGAAGATTTGTCATGGGCCCATTTTCTTGGAAGCTTAACAAAAGGTGTGTACACTTCTGAGAACCCTTATAATTTATAGACCAAAGTAAACTCGGCTACGTCCAGCGGACCTGAGTTTGCCCAGGCTTTCCTGGAAGTGAAAAGGCCACTCAAACGCCCCATCTGGTCGTTGTTTCCGTTGAAAAGCCCTTCTGTGTGTTATTTGTGATCTTCATCAGAGCACGAGTGGCGCTGTCAGGGTAACCTTTACCAACAGCCTGCCTGTGCATCTGGAGCACGTCAGCAACAGCGATAAGGTCTAACCTTGGCTTCATTCGCTTGTGATGCCATCGATGCGGCAGTTATTTCTGCTCCAGATGCTTTCTCTGAACCCCATCTTCTGCACTCGGGGTTTATAGTATAGGGCTTTAAAGTCCACAGGTGAAACAGCAGCATCGACATTCCGCCTTGCTGCTGTGTCAGTGTAATGGCGAGGATGCACCTGGTCGGCATTATTGCCATTTTGCTCCAGAGTAAACATGCTTTGGGCAGGCTAAATAATTAATGGGCCGCTATGACACCGGGGGCTGCAGCTGTGTTAACACCGCGGAAACAAGCTGGAAAGAATCGAAACATAAATAACTCTCGCATCCAACCACCTGCTTTAATGCAGATGTCTAATTGTCAGTTCTTAAGAGGGTGATCCAGGTCGACTGCAGCTCAGTCCCAAATTTAAAGCTTCCTGAGAAAACATATAAAAAAAAAATAAAAAGTTGTCTTAAAAAGATGGAGGAACTGTCTACAGTTCCAACTCCAACACACAGATCAGATTAGAAGGTGGAAAAAAAAATTTTAATCCATGGTTTGCAGTGTCCACGTGTCTCTCGCTGGTCGCCCTTCCTTTCGCCTGGCGCCTGCTTTCCTTATTGTCACAAGAAAAGCAGCAAGCCTCACTGGGATGTGTCACTGTGGCCTGCGCGCCTGCTGATGTGCTCTGTGCGTACATGTGTGAGCCAGAGCGGGGCCGGCAGACAAACTGACGAAAGCAAAGACAGCGAGGCGCGTTTCATTTATAGGCCCTCTTGCAGTTTTACGGTTTTGTTTTGGCGCTGCTCGTGTCCGTGCCGTTTCGCCCACGTCCTCAGACGACCCTGCAACATCGGCCCTGACCTGACCTTCAGGACAGCGCTCCGGTTCCACGGCCCTAATCTCCTTAAAGTGAGGTGAAAGTCAAACCAGATAGAGCCTTCGTTGTTCCTAAAGTATTTTGAACTAAAAACTACAACCTCTTACTTGTCATAATTTTTGATCTTTTATATTTCAAATACCTCTGGAATTTACTTTCAGATACAAATGAGGAACATTTCTGGTTTATTGATTAGCGTATCTCTAGGTGAACTAATCAGTAATGTTAAAAGTGAATGAATTAGTTGAGAAATTACATTCAAGTTTACTACCCACAGCTAAAACAAACTCTTTAACCCTTCAATACCCAAGTTTCAATCTCCGTCTAGATATTTTTGCTTATTTTAATTGTACGCAGCTCTTTAAATGTCCTGTGAGGAAATTTGTATTTGCCTATTTATCAATAACAACTGGAACTTTCAGTATCTAGCCGTTATTTTCGCAGTTTACCGTCTATTAAAAAAGTGCCACTTCCTGCCACAATGCAAGTGAAATTATTGTAATAACCTGATATTGACTGGAGAGCGCGACGTCTCCCCTTTCAGAAACCCAATTTTTCAGACAGCGCGACGTGTGGCGGAATCACGGTACTGCAAATTTGGCTGGATCGTCACCGATCGTTCGGTCTGGAAGGATTAACCCC